GTCAATTCAATGGGGGGAATAAAAGGTCTTTTCAACAAATGATGCTAGAAAAACCTGGTAAACATAGAGAATAAAATAAGCCATGGCCAGGCGCAGTGGCTCACACCTGTAATCCTAGCACTCTGGGAGGCCAAGGCAGGCGGATCACTCAAGGTGAAGAGTTTGAAACCAGCCTGAGCAAGAGCAAGACCCTGTCTCTACTAAAAATAGAAAGAAATTAATGGACCAACTAAAAATATATAGACAAAAGAAAAAAATAAACCTTGACTCTTACCACATACCATACACAGAAAAAAACCTGGAAATGATCACAGATCTAAATGTAAATGCTAAAACTCTAGAGCTTTCAGAGAAAATTGAGGAAAATATATTTTGAGATCTTGGAGTAGCCAGTATTTCTTAGTGAGGACCCTAAAATCACAAATCATAACAGAAAAAAATTGATAAATTGGACCCTATCAAAATCGAATACTTCTGGTCATCAAAAAACACTGTTCATTTAAAATATATACACACATAATTATTTATTTATCTTCAATTTTTTTTGTTGTTGCCTGGTCTCAAATTCCTGGCCTCAAATGATCTTCCCACGTTGGCCTCCCAAAATTCTGAGATTACAGGCATGAGCCACCTCACTCAGCCTCAAAATATATGTATTAATAACCAGCTACTTTACTGCAAATTAAAAAAAATACTAATAGAAAATGAAAAGGCAGGCCACAGACTGGAAGAAAATATTTTCAATACATATATCCCAAAAAGGACATCCAGAACATATAAAGAACTTCTACCAATCAGTAATAAGTTTTTAAAAAGACAAACAACCCAATTTTAAAAACTAGGGCAAAGACATGAACGGATACTTCATAGCAGAAGATACAATGGTCAATAACTACATCGTGTACACAAGTACATAATGAGTACAAATGGTCAGTTTATCTGGGACAGACGGGATGAAAATCAGCTCTGGCTGAAGAGTAAACGCAGCCCTACCATTAATCAGGCGGGAAGAAGGGACACAGTTGGAAGAAAACTCTGTTTCCCCCAAGGTCATGCAGCTGGGGGAAAACGCCATAAAGACCCCTTTTTGAGTGATCATTGTGTAAGGCTGGTGGCGGGCCCCCTCCGTTCCCTAGATCAAAAAAGAAAAGGCTCATGAGACCAGACCTGCCAAGGACAAAACTGCCAGGCCCCGCTGAGAGGATCCACACCCAGATGTCCACCTGGGTAAGAACGTTTTGGCTCCTGGGTTCCACAAATACCTCCAGCCCCTCCTAGAATCCCCAGCTCTTCCCGCCAAAAGTCCCTAGCCAGGCCCAAAGGGTATAAAAGGCCTCGGCCCCTTCAAACAGCGGCGACTTCTGGGGCCCCCCTCTCTTGGGGCCCCAGAACCTCGTCCACGAGTGTATAATAAAGCCACGTGGTTTGGCCCCCACTCTTTCTCTCTCTGTGTGTCTGTCTTTTCTTTTCGCAGCCGCTGAAAAACCTTACACATGGCTTCACTACTAATGATGCCCCAGGCATGCTCTGGTATTTTCACTTACTACTGAGGACACCCATGACAGTGCTGAATCCCAGTTCTCCTGATCCCGCCAGTCTCATCTCCAAAACAGCACCCACTCACAACTGATCCCAGCTGTCTTCAACCCTCCTCAGAATCCTGGGGGAGCCCAAATCTTACAAAAGATGCTTCTCTCTGGTAGAACAGCATTCTAGAGTTATTCTGGAATTCCCTCCTTGGGGCATTCTGATTTTGTCAAACTATAGGCTTTTTCCCCAGGCTGATTAGGCTTTAACAAGGTGTCCAACATCATTAGTGACCAGGGAAACGAGACAGTACTTCATACCCACCAGAATGGCTCAATTAAAAAGAATGACAATACCAAATGTCGGTGAGTATGTGGAGCAACCAGAATTCTCATATTTTCATATGAATATTTTCATATTGCTGGTGGGAGTATAAAAATGATACAACCACCTATAATGTTAAATACATACCTACCCTATGACCCCAAAGTCTTCAGTTAGGCATTTACCCAAGAGAAATGAAAACATATGCCCACTAAAACAAATGTTCACAGGAGCTTTGTTCATAATGGCCTCAAACTGCAAACACCTTGGATGTGACAATGGGTCAACATGCTGTCACATTCATACAGTAGACTACTACTCAGCAAACCAAAGACTATAAACGACTGGACTACTGACACATAGGACAACATGCTCAATCTCAAAAACACTGCACTGAACTTTAAAAGCCACACATGAGGTGGCTCAGGCCTATCATCTTGGCACTTTGGGAGGCCAAGATGGGAGGATCGCTTGAACACAGGAATTTGAGACCAGCCTAGGCAATATAGTGAGAGCTTGTCTCTACAAAAATAAAAAATTATCCAGGCTTGGTGGTGAGTGCCTGTGGGTCCAGCTACTTAGGAGGCTGATGCAGGGGGACTGTGTGAGCCCAGTAGTTCAGGGCTGCAGTGAGCTATGATTGCACCACTGTACTCCAGCCTGGGTGACAGAGTGAGACCCTGGCTCTAACCAAAGCCAGACGTAATAAATATTCTATGATTCCATTACATGAGGTTCAAAAACATGCACACCTAACCTACGATAACTAAAATCAAAACAGTGGGTACCTAATGGGGTAAGATTGGACATAAGAGAACTTCCTGAGATGAGGGAAATGTTCTATATTTTGACCAGAATGCTGATTATCCAGGTGTGTAATTTGTGAAAACTTGTCAAACTGTTTACTTAACATCTGTGCCTTTCACCATATATAAATTTTACCTCAGAATAAGAGACAAACCAGTTTTGTCTCATTCTCAGTATATTTTACTGGTGGGTTAATAAATTACCATTTTTAGCCACAATTCATGAGATTCCACCACAAATTCTGTCTGTATTTCTAAGATATTAAAAATACCCTAAGAGTACAGAAGATACATATTTATTTGGAATTTTAATTTGCTAAACTCCAAACCAATCCTATGAATATTTACTTACAATCCTATGAGAGTTATAAATCAATTCCAGGGGCTAAAGGGATAGTTAATATTTCATGCTGGGTACTCTCCTTGGATTTTATAGGTATTATCCCATTTAGTTTTCATGACAACCCTCTGAGACAGACCTATTATCAAATCATCCCCACTTTATTAATGCATTCAAGGAGATTGGGGCTCAGAGAGACTGATTTGCTCAGGGTCACAGAGCTGGCAGGCGGCAGAGCACAGATCTGACCGCAGGCCGTCTAGCTTCTGAGCCAGACTCTCCATCATTCTGCTCATGAACAAGGCAGGCAGGAACTAAGTTTTCTAAAAAGGTTCATCCAAACCAAAACAGGACGAAATCTAGATCAGACCTTCGCCATCCTGCAAGCCTCCTGGCTACTACTCCCGGTCTCTGATTCCCCCTCTACCCTTTGCCTCCACAGTGATGGCTCTAAAATCACCCAAGCCTGCTTCCCAGCAAAAATCCTTTCAGAGGCTCCTCTTGGCTACTTTGAAAGTGTCCTCGATGTTTAGTTCCCCAGCATGCAAAACACAAAAAAGGAACAGAGCCAAGCATGACTACGTGTCAGTAAAGGTAAGTGTTTCAAGTACTGCAGCCACTTTTCAAATGAATCTTATACCAGATGACAATACAGGAACTAGGTAAAGGCAAAGCTGCTCTGTTTGTAGAAGAGGGAAGAGCTAAGAGTTGTTCTCTTGTCAGCCTCTACTGCCTGCAGCCACCACCTAAAATAACTCCTTGGGCTTGGTGCCAAGGAGCCTGGAATTCTGGCTGGTCCTCGCAAAAACTAGCATTTGGAGTCCTCGGAGTCCTCCAAATTTGAGATAACTGCAACTTCCCCCAGTGCATGTTCCTTCCTCTCAGCTCTCCGTCCTAAGCTGATGTATACCATACTCTGGGGGTCATCTCCAAAACTGTCACTTTACTAGTTCCACATGCCTGCTAGTGGAACTTTTGAACTTTACTAGTTCAACAACCCATCAAATGCATGCCTGTAGGATCAGCCTGATCCCCTCAGTCTGGCCCCCTCATCAGCTCACAGGAAGCCTCCCCCAGGTACTTCAGTGCTCCCCGGCCACCCTCAGCACTGAGCTCTGTTAAAACTTGCAGCTGACACAATTGAAGACATGAGGATCTAATCTCTTGAATTGTTTTTTAGTTGTTTCTTGTATGTCAGTCTTATCTCCGAACAAAAATTTCACCTTTATACAAAGCCACTGACAAGATCTTCTTCTTGATCAAGTTGAAAGCACCTGGACTTTGGAAACAGAGACGTGAATTTAAACCCTGGCTCTGCCACTGACTGTCCATAGTCAAGCCATTTATCATTTTGAACCAGTTCTCTCAGGACTGCTATGAGAAGGAAATTATTAATGAGGATAATGATGCCACAGGCAGTATAAGTTTATGTATCTGTTCTCTTTTTTCCCTCACACAACACCCACCATAGTGGCAGGCACACAGTCACTAACAAATTCTCCATTACGTTCTACCATGTAGTAAGGACGTGCTATGGGCAAGTTTGCCCCCATGGGAGCTAAAGATGTAGCTCTGCTCCTTGACCTTTCCAATTCTGTTGATGACTATAATTTCAAGACTTCAAAAAGCCAGGTCTAGCAGAACAGGAACTAAGTGTTTCAGGGAAATTACACTCAGAAGGTCTGCCAAGGCGATGCAAGGTCCCCCATGCTCTGATCCGGAAAGCTAATGGGCAGCTTTAATGGAGTACTCAGAGGCTTGTGATGAGGGTTAGAAACAGGCTGTTCTAAAAGCATTTACAATAAAGATGGACAAAAGTTTTCCCAGGGGAAATGCTGGCTCTCTTTTCCTGCCAGATGAAATCAATGAGCCCACATTATTGGAGAAATGAAGAACCGGGGCCTGGGTGGCTGGGAGGCTGAAAAGCAAAGCAGATGGGCCATGTGGTTGGCAGAGTCAGACTTGGGACGCCTGCCCTGGTGCAGAGGAGCTGCACGGCGTACCTGTGAAACAGTGTTGCTCGTGTGTGGAGGACTCTTTCCTGCTGGTGCCATCTCCAGAGTCTATACCATGCGTGGAAGGCGGCGGGCAGGGCTCTCTGCTGGAAATGACTGTCTGCTCTGGCCTGCAGCAACTGGAGTAAAATAATGAATGGTCTTTGTACTTTACATTTCTTTTACATGACCTTTCAGGGTCACACTCTTGAGGGTGGATTGCTTCCTAGATAATTATATTGAGAAAAGATGAAAAATCACTATTTTTTTTATCTTTGCCAGTATGATAGGTGAACAATGACATATGATGGGTGAAAATTTCTCACTTTTAAATTAAAAGTGGCTTAAGCATCTCTTAACACACACATACACAGGAATATATATATATATATATTCTATATACACACACTATCCCCCCATGACTTAGGTGTTCATACTATTGCCTGTTTTACTATCTGACAGCATTTAACTCAGTGATATGTACAGACTTTTTGAACCTTAAAAAATGTGTTAGTCTTTTGTCATGTGTGTTATATTTTTCCCACTGTCTTTTGATTTTGTTTATAGTGTTTGTCATACAGATTCTTTAATTTTTATGCAGTTATAAAAGTCTACCATTTCACCAATATATCAGTAGGATGACTGTCAATGGACACTAGAATATACTGCATATGCCTCCATGATCCAGAACTTTGGGGGAGAAAAGCACATACACATGTGTAGAGGTTTTAAAAAAATAGCTGCAAATTCTTCGATCCTCCTTCACTGAGAAGTGTTCTATGTTCTCTCCCCTTGAGTCTGGGTGGGATAGTGTTATCTTTCGCCAATAGAGCATGGTAAAAGTGACACTATGTGATTTCTGAAGCCACAGAAAGGGCCATATAGCTTTTGCCTCATTCACTCAACACTCATTTTTGAAGCCCTGATGTCTGACTACCCAAGGCCACCATGCTGTAAGGAAGCCCAAGTCTCACAAAGAGGCCATATATAGGCTCTCTGGTTACCACTCCCAGTTGAGCCCAGTCTTTGAGTCACTCCAATCCAGGATCCAGACATGTCAGAGAAGAAACTTCTAGATGATTCCAACCCCCTGCCATTAGAATCTTCCCAGCTTAGGCCTCAGCAATCATGAAGCAGAAACCAGCCATCCCCACTATGAATTATCTCCATTTTTTTTTTTTTTTTGAGACAGAGTCTCACTTTGTTGCCCAGGCTAGAGTGCCATGGCGTCAGCCTAGCTCACAGCAACCTCAAACTCCTGGTCTCAAGCAATCCTGCTGCCTCAGCCTCCCAAAGAGCTGGGACTACAGGTATGCGCCACCATGCCCGGCTAATTTTTTCTATATATATATTAGTTGGCCAATTAATTTCTTTCTATTTATGGTAGAGACGGCATCTTGCTCTTGCTCAGGCTGGTTTTGAACTCCTGACCTTGAGCAATCCACCCGCCTCGGCCTCCCAGAGTGCTAGGATTACAGGCGTGAGCCACCGCGCCCGGCCTGAGCAACAGAATTTTTAAGCATAATCCAGTGGTTGTTGTTTTATGCCACTGAGTTTGGGATGATTTTTTACATAGCTATAGATAATTGGAACAGTATGTATATTTGTGTGTGCATGAACATATGGGTACATACATTCCTATCTGCACAGAGGAAAAAAGACACCAGATTTACTCACCAAATGTCACCTTAAGAGGCAAGATTATGAGTGTCTTTTCTTCTTTATGTTTTTCTACACTTCCCAAGTTTTCTATTATATAATGTTCATATATTGCTTTTCTTTTTACTTTTTATTATGTTTTTTTTTCAAATGTGAACAAAAGCAAAAACAATAGTATAATGAATCCCTGTGGCCCTGTCATGTAGCTCCAACAGTTAGCAAACATTGTGCTATCCTGTATACAGTTGTCCCTCAGGATCTGTGGGGGATTGGTTCCAGGATCCCCCAGAGGATGCCAAAATCCATGGATACTCAAGTCCCTTATATAAAATAATCAAGTATTTGTATATAACCTACACAACCTCTCATATACTTTAAATCATCTCTAGATTACATATAATATCTAGCACAATGTAAATGCCATGTAAATATTAATAGTTTTCAGACCAGTACTGGTCCATGGCGTGTTAGGAACCAGCCCTCTCGCCATCACTCACATCACTGCCCAAGTTCTGCCTGCCCCCAACCCCCCAACCCATCCGTGGAAAATTTGTCTTCCATGAAACCAGTACCTGGTGCCAAAAAGGTTGGGGACGGGTCTAGGGAATAATGACAAGAAAAAAGTCTGTACATCTTCAGTACAGACACAGCCATCCATTTTTTTTCGAACTCCTGACCTCGAGCAATCCGCCCGCCTCGGCCTCCCAGAGTGCTAGGATTACAGGCTTGAGCCACCGCGCCCGGCCTATCCATTTTTTTTTAAAAATGTTTTTGATCCATGATTGGTTGAATCAACGGTGCAGAACGCACAGATGTGGAATCCATGGATACAGAAGGCTGACTGTGTATTACTTTTTAAAAAGAAAGAAAGCCACAATAAATCACATTTTTATCTTTTCAAGAATAGAATAACTGATGTGCTCTTGGGATATCTACACCAAGAGGTGATATCTAGGTTGTTAGCTTGAGGTTTAAAAGCAACAACTAAGCAGAGCTCCTACTATTTTTCAGACCTCCTATGCCTTTGAAAGTAGGCCATGCTAGAGCAGTGCAGATATGAGAATGCTGACCCTGGGCTTGCCACCAGTGCTGAGCCCGGTGTCAAGGACAGCTCTCTCCCTCTCCTGGAAGGAAATAAAAGAGACTCTCTGCTCTTTTTTTTTTTTTGAGACAGTCTCGCTTTGTTGCCTGGGCTAGAGTGAGTGCCGTGGCGTCAGCCTAGCTCACAGCAACCTCAAACTCCTGGGCTCAAGCAATCCTGCTGCCTCAGCCTCCCGAGTAGCTGGGACTACAGGCATGCGCCACCATGCCGCTGATTTTCTATGTATATTGGTTGGCCAATTAATTTCTTTCTATTTATAGTAGAGACGCGGTATCGCTCTTGCTCAGGCTGGTTTCGAACTCCTGACCTCGAGCAATCTGCCCGCCTCGGCCTCAAAGACTGCTAGGATTACAGGCTTGAGCCACTGCACCCAGCCTGCTCTCCTCTTTAAATAATTATGACTTTTCAACACTGACACAGTCTTTTTCTAAAAGGCTTCCTTCCCTACGTTCTCTGGAGCTGGTATTAAATGACCTTAAGAACACAAGTGGCAAGGACCTTTCAGAACCAGCCACATATTCCAAAAGGATGTCAAAGAAGGCAGTAACTGTGTTTCCTGTAAGGTGTGGAAGGCAAGGGTGACACAGAAATAAGCCATGCCGTAGATGAGTACCATCTAAACCCTAAGAACTGAGACGATCCTTGGGAGAAACTCGGAAGTGATCAATGGCAGTTTGTTCGTTTGTTGGTGCTTTCATTTAGCCAAGTGCCAGTCAGCACATACCCCGTGCCAAGCACTGTGTTGGGCTAAGCAGAAGAGAGAGACAGGCTGTACTCTAAAGAAGCTCACAGCCTGGCAGGCCAGTGAACAATGATGCGATGAATGCTCTAATAAAGCTGTGCACGTGGGGGTGAGCCGGGCTGGGGGTCTGGAAGGGTAATGACGAACAGGGAACTGCAGGCACAAGGAGGAGCAGGAGAGTGCAGAGTACCTTTAAGGAAGACCGGCAGCTTTGCTGGTCAGGTGCAGTTGTGAAGGGACAGAGTGGTCACTGGAAAGCTGGGGAAACAGACAGGGACCAGCTCTCAAAAGAGTTTGTAGACCTGGCTAAAAATTTGGATTCTATCCCCAAACTATGGGGAGCCAAAATCTTCAGATTTACATGTTAGACTCTAGCAGCAGATACAGGTGGGGCGGGGAGGGCCGCAGGAAAATAACTGGGAGGAGTTTGGTTTGTGTCTTCCTCTGTTTCACTGCCAGGGACGGCCAAGGACGGGCATTTTCCACAGCAATGCTCAGGCGGACATCATTCATGAACGCACATCCCCACCGAGTCCAAATGTGCCTTTGAAATCCTTCTTAGTACAGCATTCCCGACCGCTATCCTGGTCATTAGAGCTGGCCTGCAAGATCACACTTATTTGCCATCCTGGTGCTAAAGAGCAGTCCTGTAAGAGCAGGAATTTTGTCTCCTTGTATCATAGTTGTAGCCTCGGTGCTTAGCAGTGTCTGTGGCACAGCAGTTGCTCAATGGAACTGACCCTTTCTCAATCTGCCTCTACAAATTTGTCATCCTGACCCCAACTCATCCACCCCCCGGGGGACCTGTGTGTCACAGTTTAGCACTGGGATACTTATGCTCTACACCTCTCCCCATACCCCCTGCAGCTCCCACTGGGTGAGGGGCTGGCTAACTCACATAGTAAATGAATTTGAGTAAAGACAATGCTGATAAGAGCTCATGACTCTCAGAGAATACCTGCATTTTCACAGCAGATGAAGGAATGGGAGTTATCCAGACTTTCTGACATCAATAAAGGGAACTAGAGGAAATGCCTTTGAGCTTTTTCAACACCCTCTCTTCCAAATCAGAACAACGAGACCTCTTGGCATAGGCCTTTTCCAAGAATCTTTCCAAAGCAAATGGATCCAAGAATGCAAGCCAGGAGAGCCATCTGCTATAAAGAACTCCATACCTGCTGGTATCGCTGCTTCTGAGTATACTGTAACCACAACTTGATACACTTGCATAGCAATGTTATCCTGAAAGAAAACAGAGAACACCAAGGTACTGCCCATCCTCATCTTCAGGTTTCAGGTTTTTTAAAGTTTGTTTTGTTTTTAAAGCAGATAAATCTGGGTATAGTTACTTGTTGAGAGTTAAAGGCACCCCATGGGCTTACTAGTTTCATTCTAGGAGGGAGAGAGGGCATTTAGATATATTTAACATGAAAGCTATGAAACCCTGAATTTGGACTTTGGCTTGCCTAAAAATGTTAACAATTTTGTTGTAAACCTAATTAGACCACCAAGCACAGTATCGCTAGAACTTAGAAAATATGTATAAAATCCCCCAGAGATCCTGAACTTCCTGGTTTTATGGCCAAACTCTGGGGCTCATTTAGACTACCTGGGTCTGTGACATGCTCCCTTTCAGAGTTAGTTTAATAAATAAAGATTTAGAATAATATACCTTGACAACTCTGAATTGAGTCAGTTAAATATTGGGATTCTCATTGACTCATTAAAAAATGCTCCAAAATTGGCCAGGCATGGTGGCTCATGCCTGTAATCTTAGCACTCTGGGAGGCCAAGGTGGGAGGATCACTTGAGCTCAGGAGATAGAGACCAGCCTGACCAAGAGTGAGACCCTGTCTCTACTAAAAATAGAAAAAATTAGCTGGGATCATGGCATGTGCCTGTACTCCCAGCTACTTGAGAGGCTGAGGCAGGAGGATTGCTTAAGCCCAGGAGTTTCAGGTTGCAGGGAGCTATGATGATGCTACTGCAATCTAGCCCAGGTGGCAAAGCTAGCTCCAAGATTGGGCCTATGACTATGCAAATTAAGTGGATTACACTGTGGGGAAGAATGGGATGGAAAGGAAGGGAGGGTATATCAAACATTTCTGGCAGCAAGAAAGTTAATATACAGTGGTTACCTGTCAGGATTAAGATCAAAGAGTTGCAGGGAGGAAGCCAGGCAACTTTACTTTTCATTTTATACCTTCCTTCCTATATGTCCTGAGCTTTCCTCACAAATATGTAGTGCTTCTATTTTTTTATTTTATTTTAATTAATTAATTAATTTATTTATTTATTTTTGAGACAGAGTCTCGCTTTGTTGTCCAGGCTAGAGTGAGTGCCGTGGCGTCAGCCTAGCTCACAGCAACCTCAAACTCCTGGGCTCAAGCAATCCTGCTGCCTTAGCCTCCCGAGTAGCTGGGACTATAGGCATGCACCACCATGCCCGGCTAAGTTTTTCTATATATATATTAGTTGGCCAATTAATTTCTTTCTATTTATAGTAGAGACGGGGGTCTCGCTCTTGCTCAGGCTGGTTTCGAACTCCTGACCTTGAACAATCCGCCTGCCTCGGCCTCCCAGAGAGCTAGGATTACAGGCGTGAGCCACCGCGCCCGGCCTATTTATTTATTTTCAATGAATGACTAGTGCCAAAATAGAAGACACTTCCTGCACCCTTCCAAACTGAGTCACAAATACCCACCTGGCCTGACCCTTCTCTTTAACGCTAGCAATGCATGAATTCTAAGATGTGAGCATCTTAATGGCTATAGGACGGACAAAGTCAGCTAACCAGGCACAAACTTCAGACTATAATGGCCAAGAATCAATACAAATATCCTCATTCTACCTCCCATCTGATCAGCCAAAAATAAAATGCAAATTCAGGAACCACTGGTTTACAGCAGGGCCTCCACCCCCAGAAGGCCTTTCTGAATCTGCCACGCTTAACTTGCGGAAAGGTAAGCGATCACTCCTGGAAAATGGACGAAGCCAGAGTCCTTACCTGTAGTGGTCCCAGGCGGCACACAGCAAGGGGAGATGCTCTTTTTCCTCCCTCTGCTCAATCCGAGACTGCCAGAGGTTCCAGAACCTGCGCAGCAGCTAAAACAAGACAGTAAGGAAATGGAAATTTACTAAAATGAAAGGAATCCTTACTCCACTAGACTGTGAACTCCCCCACAGCAGAAATTATCTCAGTTTGGAGCAGCCAACATACAATGGGTTTGCAAAATAATTATGGCTGAAGTATAGAGCTACCTGGGCTAACGTTAAAGGCAAAAAGATGGTTCTTCCAGTCTATGGAAATCTGGATGAAGAAGCTATAGCTAATCTGGGCCTCATGGAAGACAAGGCCTTTTTTTTTGAGACAGGGTGTTACTCTGTCACCCCGGCTAGAGTGTAGTGCCATCATCATAGCTCACTACAACCTCCAACTCCTGGGCTCAAGTGATTCTCCTGCCTCAGACTCCCAAGTAATTGGGACTATGGGCATGCGCCACCATACCCAGCCATTTTTTGTAGCGATGGGGTCTTGCTCTTGCTCAGGTTAGTCTCTAGCTCCTATGATCCTCCCACCTCAGCCTTCCAAAACGCTATGATTACAGGCATGACTACTGCACCTGGCCCCACCATTTTTTTTTTTTTGAGACAGAGTCTCGCTTTGTTGCCTAGGCTAGAGTGAGTGCCGTGGCATCAGCCTAGCTCGCAGCAACCTCAAACTCCTGGGCTCAAGCAATCCTCCTGCCTCAGCCTCCCGAGTAGCTGGGACTACAGGCATGAGCCACCATGCCCGGCTAATTTTTTCTATATATATTAGTTGGCCAATTAGTTTCCTTCTATTTATAGTAGAGACGGGGTCTCGCTCTTGCTCAGGCTGGTTTCAAACTCCCGACCTCGAGCAATCCGCCCGCCTCGGCCTCCCAGAGAGCTAGGATTACAGGCGTGAGCCACCGCGCCCGGCCTGGCCCCACCATTTTAAAAAGTCATTTTAGAAATTAAAATTGATCTTATTACGTACTACCATCTATGAAGCAGTCGAGCAGAAATGTTTAACTTCAATCTAATCAAGGCTTTAGGTCTAACATATCTAGTTTATAGGTATTATATAAAGGGAAATTAAATGAATCAAAAGGAAATAACCAGATAAACCAACTATGGAACATTGTACAGAATAACTCTCCTGTCCTTTTGAAAGAGTCAAAGTCATTTAAAAGAAAAAAAGTATACATTATGCCCAGTGAAATGAGTCTGTCACCAAAGGATAAATACTGCATGACTCCACTTATGAGGTTTCTAGGGTGAATAAATTCATACAGACAGAAAGTAAAATGGTAGTTTCTAGGGCCTGGAGGAAGAAGAAATGAGGAGTTAGTGTTTAATGGGTACAGAGTTTCAGTTTTCCAAGATGAAAAATGTTTTGGAGATGGATAATGGTGATGGTTGCACAACGACATCAATGTACTTAACGTCAATGCTGTACAATTAAAATGGTTACAATGATAAATTTTATGTTATGTGTATTTTACTACAATTAAAAATTTTTTAGACCAGGCGTGGTGGCTCATGCCTGTAATCTTAGCACTCTGGGAGGCAGAGGTGGGCAGATTGCTCAAGGTCAGGAGTTCGAAACCACCCTGAGTAAGAGCGAGACCCCGTCTCTACTATAAATAGAAAGAATTAATTGGCCAACTAATATATAGAGAAAAAATTAGCCGGGCATGGTGGCGCATGCCTGTAGTCCCAGCTACTCAGGAGCTGAGGCAGAAGGATTGCTTGAGCCCAGGAGATTGAGGTTGCTGTGAGCTAGGCTGATGCCACGGCACTCACTCTAGCCTGGGCAACAAAGTGGAGGGGAGGAAATTATTCTAAATTAAGAGCTTTAATAACTAAACGTAGTTAGTGACCTTTAACTGAATCCTGGTCTGAAACAAAGCCGTTTTAAAGGCATTTGGGAGAATTCGAATAAACTGTGGGAATTTGAATGTGGACTGGAGAATGTTAGGGGACTACTGTTAATTTCATTAGGGATGATGATATTGTAGTTACATGTCCTTACAAGATAAGGACAGAATGTCCTTATCTTTGGGTGATGCATGCCAAACGTTTAGGTACACAGTGTCATGATGTCTATAATTTACTTTGAAATGATACAGCAAAAAAAAAGCAAATATAGCAAATATTAACAATTGTTGAATCTAGGTAATAAGTATACAGATGCTAATTATATTACTCTTTCTGTTTTTCTATATTTTGAACATTTTCATAAAATAGTAACAGGAAAAAAAAAAACCATCCTTCTACACTCAGAAACAAAACTGACAAGTAGAGATAATGTTTGCTGATCTCAGGTAACAAACCACTGAAGTGAATACACTTACAATGGAAACCCAACCAAAGCCTCCTATGATCCAAGACTTAAAATGTATTTTTATCACTACATCCCCGAGGTCAGGGTTAAAATCTACAGTCCCTGACCTCTGAGTCAACTATCCATTTTCTTAGCAAAGAGAAAAACTGGGATTAACAAAGCAAAAAACAAGAGTTATCAACAGGTTTGGATTACTCCCCAAAAACTAAGAACTAAGGTTTTGGAGTCTAAAATCTGGACAAATCTCTGAGCACAGAGATTAAAGAAGAAAAGAGTTGTGTTTAATTTGTCAAGATAAATCAATAAATAAGAGAAAGGGAATGGCCATCAGAAGAAGTCCCTTGATATGAAGATCACACTTACCGTGACATCATGCTGCTGGCAAGCGAGATTCCTCCTTATTCGATGGAGATGGGCACGGGTCACATTGTCTTTTAGGGCTCTAAAGCCAAAATTCTGCACAAAGAAGAAGGGACACAACCTATTACAAAGACTGGAATCAGAAAAGTCTGCAAAAGAGCAGATGAAGGCAGGCGGTGCCCCAAATCGGGGCAGGGAAGCTCAGTCAGAGCTTCTCACAGCTGCTCCATTTCGGCTGGGTGTTTCTCTGCTTGGAAACTCAAACCGGAGCCTGACACGAGCCAGCCTGCACAGCAGGCACTTACTAAACATTTGTTGTGCCAGTCCCTACCGTCCATCTGTCCTCCCAAGGACACACACACACCCTCACCTCTGACCAGGAGAGACCCCCGGGACCCAGATGAGAATTCTACAGACAAAGGCTGAACAACAACTTTTGCCTCTCAAAAAAGAAACAGACTTTTTGCCTACGGTGTTTTTTGGTTTTCACCATGTGGAGTCAGTGTATACATTTACATAAACATAATTATATACAAACATTTACATAAACACGGCTGTTGCTAGAACGGAATAAGGAGTCCTTGGTGAGTAGAGGGTTGGGGTGGGGGCAGTATACCCAGGCCTGGCTCCAGTTCCCCCATGCCTTGGACTTCAGTTTTCTAAGACAGAAGTGATTAGGCTGGATTAGGGGTTTTCCTACTGTGCTCTGTGGAGCCCGACAGGCCCCTGAGTGTCTGAAGACCACCTGCCTCACATGGCAAGGGAGGGAGAGAGTAGCTGGTAAAACAGGGACTGACTCCCAGACCCCCTTCAACCACAGCATGGCTGCTTTGGTCTATTTTACAGATTAGGCTTTCACCACTAAAAAGGGTTCCACCATGCAAAAAAAGCCCAGGACTAGATCACTTCTAAGGGTCCTTTACAGCTCCAGATCCCTCTGACCCCACACCATTACCATTTTTGATCCAAAATGAAAACAGGGACACCCACGATGAAAGGAGGGCTTCATGACTAAAGCAAATCCATAACTGGCTGCACTTAATGAGTGGGACGGGGGCTGGACTTCCCCAGGAGTGAATGCCTGAGCAAGGCCGCCACGCCGGGCTGTGCCAGGCTGCCGTGCTCTTACCAGCAGGCTGTGCCTGCGGTGCTCTTCTGCCATCTCACGCTGGGCAGCTTCTTCCCCATGCAGCAGCATGTCTGCCAGGAAGTTAAGGCCTAATTTCGACAAGGTTCCTGTCCCCAGATAGCGATAGCGCATTTCCAGTGACCCACCTGAAGGGTCATGGCTGCAGGGGGTAGCGGGCTCAGCAGGTGGGCTGATATCCCCTGCTTCCTCCAGACAACCCAGGGAAGCAGTGGGCAAAGGGAACCATGTCAGTTACTTATCAGACAGCTGGCCTTGTGTTCCTTCCCTTGGATGCCCATTTGACGAGAGGCAAAAAATATCTGAGATAAATTGCCACCCATTTCAGTAAACATTTCAAAATCATCATATCAAAAGCAGAACCTGCTCCTTCTCCTGGCAAGGAGATCTAGTCAGATGTTTGAACTAAAAACCTTGGAGTTATTTTCAAACCTTTCTCCTCCCGCTGATCTCAGCCACCAAGTACATCTGTTCTCTTTCTACTTGGGAACGGGTCTGGTAAAAAAAAAAAAAAGTAATAATAAAGTAAAATATTTTTTAAAAATATAAAAAAAAAAAGTACATCTGTTTTCCTCCTCTCCCTTGCCTCCTGCTCTTCTGCCCGCCCCCCACCACTACCAGGCAGTTCACCCGTGTAAGCTGAGTCTCCTCTCAGAACTGGTCTCCCCCTGCTAGGCTCCTTCTTCTAATCCAGAATTATCCTTTCTAAAGCACAAACCTTCCTGCATTGTCACCTGAGCTAGAGTGCAGTGGTGTGATCAGAGCTCACAGCAACCTCAAACTCTTAGGATCACGCGATCCTCCTGCCTCAGCCTCCTGAGTAGCTGGGATTACAGGTGTGTGCTACCACACCTGGCTAATATTTTCTACTTTTTTGTAAAAACCTCTAATGCCAGGTGTGTTGGCATGTGCCTGTAGTCTTAGCTATTCAGGAGGCCGAGGTGGGAGGATCACTTGAGCCCAGGAGTTCGAGGCTGCAGAGAGCTCTGACTGTACCTGAGAATAGCCCACACTGCACTCCAGCCCGGGCAACCTAGCCAGATGCCATCTATTAAAAACAAACAAAACTCCAGAGCCTTCCGCATCTGCCCTCCCACCACCCACCCCCCTACTACTCACTACAGATTCTTGAATGCTCTTCCTCACCTCTAAGCCTGTGTACATGCCATTCCTTACACATGAAATGCCTTTCCCAACCTCTCTGCTGGTGAACTTGTCATCTCCTGAGACTTAAGATCAGCTAAAACATTACCTCCTTGGCTGAATCTCCACAGTGGCTCTCACAGGACTTGATACAAGTTTTTATCACATATATTTAAAGACTTTTTTTCATGTCTATTTTCCCCACTATGTTAGTCTTTGAGTTTCCTTGTATCCCAGAACTTAAGCAGGAGTTTAACACAAAGCAAAACTCTGCTGAGACTTTGAAAATTTTTTAGCTCCCAAGTCTCTGTTTCTTCATCTATAAAATGGCCACAGTCACACCTACTCCACGGGGCTGCTAGGAAGGTTAAGAGGATAATGTCTGCAACATAGTGAAAGCTCAATAAATGGAAGCTATGATCACAGTGATGGTATCACCAAGAAAAAAGACAGCTGGGGCTATTTCCACCACCTAGTGGGTACAGAAAAGCAATGGAATGATAACACAAAAAAATGTTAATCAGGACAGTGGGATTAGCTCTGAGGGAAGGAGGGAATGCAGTCAGGGAAAAGGTGCTGGCAATGTTCTGGTTTTTAAATTGGGTGGTGAATACATAGGTGTTCATTTTATTATTCTTCTTCAAAATATAAGTATGTAAGTACTCTTTTGTATGCACAGCCCTAAAATTTTAAAAAGAAGTCACAGAGACAAGGCTGTCTAAAATTGTTTGGTAGTTGTTTCCCGCGTTATCTCATGACTTTTGTTTCACGTGCTGCTGAGCACATGCTGTCCTGGCCGGGGTGACGGACAGGCCTGGCATCTGACAAGGATACAGTGCTTCCAGCGCGTCAAGGCCCGCCGCAGCGCCATCCTCCGGGCCAGCTCCTCCACGCGGGCGCGGTGGGCGTGCAAGCTCTCCCTCCGCTGCCAGGCCCACTGCCAACTGCACAAGTGTATCTGGAGCACAGTGACATGATGGAATCGCTCAGCCATCTCTGCAACAGAGAAACAACCTAAGTGCTGCTCCCCCAAGGGTGGAAGATGAGCTTGAAGCATCTTTAAGACAAGTAGAACCCTGCGACTGGCAGAGAGCAGGGATTCAAGGCTGCTCTCACAAAAAAAATCTTTATTTTTTTTTTATTTATTTTTTTAAGAGATAGGGTTTCACTCTGTTGTCCAAGCCACAGTGCAGTGCACATCATTATAGCTCACTATAATCTCAAACTCCTGGGCTCAAGCAATCCTCCCGCCTCTACCTATAGCTAAAACTACAGGCACATGCCACTACACCTAGCTAATTTTTAAATTTTTTGTAGAGATGGGATCTCACTACTGCTGCCCAGGCTGCTCTCTCACTCCTGGCCTCAAGCAATCCCCTGCCTTGGCCTCCCAAAGTGCTGAGATTACACGCATGAGCCACTGTACCTGGACTAAAAGTCTGTTAAACACTGTAAGGTCATTAGGAGTCCCTGAGCTACATCTCCTCACTTTGGGAAGAGAGAAAAGGTATGTGATTTTAAGGAAGATGATGCTATAAAATCCATTAAATCAAAGGGATGAGGCTTCTAGTTAGATACTAATGAGCAGGAATGGCGACTGTTGTTTTCAAAGAGGACTCTGTTTTATGTTTGCCTCTATAGGGCTGTCTGCTGGATAGGACTTAGGACCTGAGTCACGACACAGGATTCAGTCACCGTGCTTGCAAAGGCTTTTCTGAGCTTTCAGCCAAGCTGATCCTGGCTACTAGCTTCATATCCTTTTAACAACAATCAGCTAATGGTCTGAGGAGCTGAAGCCGGGGAAGAGGAAGGGAATCAGATCTGGAATCTGAATGCTGTAACTGGAGGCAGGTGTTAGTGTGTAGCTTATCACACTAAACAGCTTAATGTTTCGATTCACCTTCCAGGCTTGGGCAACTGGACTACTGGTCCGTGGTTATTATTCTCAAGTGAACACATTCAAACTCTCCCAAGAGACAAGTGTTCATAGTCTCAGAGATTTCTGCAGGGACAGTTGGGCAAAAGCCAAAGTCTATAACATAGTGTCTAGCACAGTACTTGACTCACTTCTGTGTAACTTGACTCACTTCTGTGTAACTTGATAAACTTAAGTACAAGTGTACCAACAATCACGTTTCTGTGTATTATTACTTCTGAATTATAATACTGTGTATTATTACTTCTGTGTATTATTACTTCTGAATCTAACTGGGGAACTAAACCATAAAAACCGTATATGAAAACTTAACAAATAAACAGGCACTTGTATAATTAGGGACAAGTAGAAACAATCTAATGTCTATCAATAGGAGAATGGCTAAGTAAACTAAAGTAAGCCATCCTATAAAATACAAATAGTCATTAAAAAAAAACTTACAATGAATACTTAAAGATTTAGGAAAGTGTTGATTAGCTGCATGGAAAAAAGCAAGATATAAAACTATAGGTATCATATCAATCATAATATGGGCCAGGCATGGTGGCTCCTGCCTGTAATCCCAGCACTATGGAAGGCCATGAGTTTAAGACCAGCCTGGGCAACACAGTGAGGTCCCATAGAGACCCTCATCTCTATAAAAAATTTTAAAAATTAGCCAGGCATGGTGACATGTACCTGTAGTCTTGGCTACTTGGGAGGCTGCGGTGAGAGGATTGCTTGATCCCAGGAGTTTGAAGTCTCAGTGAGCTATAATCATGCATGCTATTGCACCCCAACCCCTGAGTGACAGTGTTAGACCCTATCTCCTGAAAAAAAATCACAATATTTATAGCATAATTAAGAAACTATTTGGATAAAATATATGCATAGACGAAAAGGCGAGAAGAAAATAAACATGAATCGAATATGATGTGTTTTCTTCTTCAATATCCTTTTACTAAAATTTGTAGCATAATGTGATTATAGATCTTCTTAATATAGTACCACTGGCAGCAGGAGAGTGGAAATTGTGACCAGACCGTCTATCAAGAGCCCAGGGTTTCTTTCTCACCGTTCTGCTGTCTCTTCATCCTGCGGATTTGCAAGTATTCAAGCCAGGCCTTCAGGAATCTCCGCTTTTGCCAGTGCTGATGGTGTTTCACTGCAGAGACCATCTTCTCTTTCTCTCTCTGGTCATGCAGGAACTGTTCCCGCCACTGTGACCAAGCCTTTAATCCAGAGAAAGATAACAGTCAAAGGAAAAGCAGGAAAACTGCGGTGAATACAAGTAAGGAGGGAAAAGAGAAACAGACACACACTGGAAAAGCTGAAATTAGAAACAAGGAAGTGGCAATTCCCCAGCAGGATCATAAGCTATGGGAATTTGGGGTGAAAGGATCTTTAAGAAGACTATAATGCTTCCAGAAAGTAATCTTTTTCTAGATTAAAAAAAAGAGGAATAATAAAATCAACAAGCAGACAAGAAGGAGATGTGATATAATTAAATCAGATCTGGGATAGGTGAAGCTCTGCCTTTTCTTCCAAAGTGGAAGGAAACCTATTCGGAAGAGGTCCTGTCTTAGGCAGATTAGTTTCAGGGAAGCACACCTATAGAAGTTGAAGGTGTACAAGAGGATCCCCTTAAGACTATCCATAAACACACCCCTAGAAAAGTCTTCCTGTATGGTCAGCAATAATGCATGCGCTAAAGATGATTTAGACAAAGATTTCACATTTTCTTTTCTTAAACCTGTAACACTTCTTTCTCCTTTCCTTCCTCTTAAGTGAATACCATTCTTCCTATTTCACCATGAAAATAAAAGTAATGAAAAGAGAATTTTGCCAGGTCCCGCCATGTCTACCCACCCCCGTGTACACAGGCCCTTCCTCCTCTCTCTCCAGCTACCTGGGATAAACTGTCCACGCTCCCATCCGAGGTCACCCCCCACTGTGGCTACATCCCATCCCCTCTCACCTTCTCAAGTTTATCACTTGGCAATTTCCCCTCTCTTCTGCATCATCAGTTTTCACTATTAGATTTTAAAAATCAGCATATGAATGTGCTATTATTTCTCCCATCCTAAAAAAAAAAATCCCTTAAGGATGTGACAACTAAAAGCAATGGATGACTTTTGAATGGACTCTGGACCAGACTTGAAAATAGTAATATACACGTTTAATATGAACTGCATATTACATATTATAATAATATTAAATTTCTTGAATATAATAATGATATTGTGGTTATGTGGGAGAATGTCCTTTTTATACAGGAGATATAAGCTTTAGGATACACTTTATGTCTGCAATTTTAAAGAAGATCATAAAATAATATATTTATATACTCAGGGAGAGAAAGCCAATGTGGCAATATGTTAATAATGGGTTAAACTAGCTGAAGCATATACAGTACCCACCTTTTCTGTGATTTAGTATTTGTCAAAAGTAAAAAGTTGGGGGGAGAAGATTACTGTCACAAAAATACTTGCTAAAAGAAATAAAGCAGTGATTCTCAGACAAAGTGACACCCCTCTCTAGACCACACTTTGCCATCCAGCTGGCTCTCTAGTTCTCTCCTTTCTGAGTTCCTCAAAAGAGCCTGGAAAGAACTTTCTCTTCTCCCAGGAAGACTTCCTTGAACCCACTCCCACCAGTTACAGAAACTGCTCTTATCAGTGCACCAAGGGTCACCTCCACGTTGTTCAATCCAAAGGTCAAATCTCAGTCCTCGACCTTCCAGAAGTGTCTGACAGTGTCACTCCTTCCTTCTGCTTCCAGGATGCATGCAGGTGCCTCCTCTGTTCCTGTTGCTCACTCACCTGTGTGCCTCACAGGCCCAGCTTTGGAATCTCTCCTCTAGCTATTCTTTATTCTTTCACCTACTCTTGTGGCTTTAAATAGTACCTGCCTACTGAGGACTCCTAAATCTACATCTTCTGCCTGGACTTGTCCTCAATACTCCACATACAAATCTTACTGCCTCCCTGACATCTCCCAGTGGATGTTCAAAAGGTCCATCATGCTGAAGATATGGAGTTCGGATTAGAGCTCCTCCTAACCTTTTTCCACAAACCTGCCTCTCTCTGAGTCTTCCCTGTTTCGGTAAATGAAAACTCCACTGATCTAGTTGCTTAGGCCAAAACCTGGGAGTCATCTTGTATTCTCTCTGAGACATCCCATCTCATCTATCCATTAGCAAATCCTCTCGGTCATATCTAAAAAATATATCCAGAATCCAACCACCATTTGCTAGCATCCTTCTGTAAAATCTCGCCTGGAATTTTGACATAGCTTCTTACTGTCCTCCCTGCTTTCATCCTTGACCTTGTCTGGTCTACTGTTAACACAATGCCAGAGTGGTCCTTTTTGGCTTCTTTGGCTGTTATGTCACTTAAATCTCTCCTTTCTTTGTGACAATTCCTCTCCCTGCCTTTTTTCCCTTTCATGCCACCAATCTATTAGAGAAACTAAGTCATTTATCCTATAAAATGTCCCACATTTTGAATCTGGCTGCTTGTTTGCTCCTCTGACTCTTGTATTTCCTATAGACTGAGAGATCTGTGTTAAGCTTGTTGGGAGCCATGTTCAGTTTTTTAGGCAAGAATGCTTCATGAGTATGGCTAGGCATGTCCTTCTGGCTGCTGCAGCTGTGGCAATACCAAGACTGTTTAATGGCCTCACAGGGCACTTAGCCTATTTCCTCCTGTTTCCCCATCACTCTCTCACCTGGTGATACTGCCCAGACCCACGTCCTCGTTATGGTATAAAAGCAGTGATTTTCTAATTCCAGAGTTCCTTCTGCATTTATTAACTGGAATTCTTCTGTAAAGAAGCCTTCTCTCATTAACCCTCTGGTTTCTTGGAGATATAGCTTATACAGGAAAGGTAGGATAAATGCTTGATTTTTTGCCTTAACTTTTAAAGAATTAAGTTTATGCTCTAAGAACCCAAAATCATGACCAATGAGTTCTTCTGTAAAATCATGTTAAATCCATTAGTTTTAAAATATTTGATATGTTTTCAATCCATCCAAGAGCAATGCTCTTGCCTCAGCCTCCTGAGTAGCTGGGACCACAGACACATCACTGTACCTGGCTCATCATTAGTATTATTTTGATGCTTGGATTTTTGTATCTTAAGGCCTGGGAATCTTTTCAAACTGGCTCTTGGAGTCCTTTTGACATAAACCCATTAGGCTTTGTTAATTTCCTTACTTTTCAACACACTGTATCCTAGGCTTATCTTATTTATTTCCTGCCTTGGATCTATAATCAGCCATTTCTCCAAAAAGCCCTAGTTCCTTTTAGTGGGAAACAGTAGAGACCATAGCTGGGGCACGGGGGATGTTAAATGCTACACTATTGCCACTGCTTCTAAGTCTTTCCAGTAAATAGAGTTAGAAATTCATTTTTTAAGATTAAAAAAAAATCATGAGGGCCGGGCGCGGTGGCTCACGCCTGTAATCCTAGCACTCTGGGAGGCCGAGGCAGGCAGATTGCTCGAGGTCAGGAGTTCGATACCAGCCTGAGCAAGAGCAAGACCCGTCTCTACTATAAATAGAAAGAAATTAATTGGCCAACTAATATATACAGAAAAAATTAGCTGGGCATGGTGGCGCATGCCTGTAGTCCCAGCTACTCGGGAGGCTGAGGCAGAAGGATTGGTTGAGCCCAGGAGTTTGAGGTTGCTGTGAGCTAGGCTGATGCCACGGCACTCACTCTAGCCTGGGGAACAAAGCGAGACTCTGTCTCAAAAGAAAAAGAAATCATGAGTCCATACTGATATTTATACTTCCAATTTCAGATTACAGAATTTTTTAACTCTTTGATTTTATACTTGTAATCTTTTCTGTTACACTAAAAATCCTGATTTCTAATGACATTGCCATAGTTATTTGCTTTATCTTACAATGTAGCTATAATAGTTTCAACATAACAATTCCAAACCTGCTAGTAACAGTAGGACCACTGAATGCGGGTTTTAGATTTCTTAGCAGTTCTTTGTGTCCTTTGAATACATCCCACTAGGGAAGAACAGCAAACTATTGTATTTTAAAGTTACTTGAAGTAATTATTTTGTGTAGCCATTGCCACAAACTTGATATAAATTTGTTACAGATTGTTTTAAAAATCTAGAGATTGTTTTTTGATGTACTTTTTTTTTTGAGACAGAGTCTTACTTTGTTGCCCAGGCAAGAGTGAGTGCCATGGTGTCAGCCTAGCTCACAGCAACCTCAAACTCCTGGGCTCAAGCAATCCTGCTGCCTCAGCCTCCCGAGTAGCTGGGACTACAGGCATGCGCCACCATGCCCGGCTAATTTTTTCTATATATATTAGTTGGCCAATTAATTTCTTTCTATTTATAGTAGAGACGGGGTCTCACTCTTGCTCAGGCTGGTTTTGAACTCCTGACCTTGAGCAATCCACCCACCTCGGCCTCCCAGAGTGCTAGGATTATAGGCGTGAGCCACCGTGCCCGGCCAATATACTTTTTTTGTTGTTGTTGTTCAATAAGATTTTATTTAAAAATTTGCAAAGCTGAAGGAAGGATATGATCTTTTGTTCAAAGAAAGCAATTTTCACAGTATATATTTAGCCATTTTAGCTTTGTATCGAATAATAACAGAAAAGGAAGTTCAAGATCCTCAGTCCAGCATACTCAGCCAGGTGCTTGGCATCACGTAGCAAGATGAAACATTCCCTGGTCTGAAGCTCACAGCAAATCCTCTCACCCAAGTGGAACACCCGTTCTCCAGGCACACACACGAGGTCTTATTTTCACTGCTCTACACAGGGCCCTGAGAATCCTTAATTTTAAAGTTGGGAAAAATGTGAAAGGATTCCTTAACTCATTGCCTGTAACAAATCCAACTACCTGTATAACTCTTAACAATTGCAAGTATAAAAACTTGAAATGTATAAGATGTTCCATTTTATGGAACAACTCTAATGTTAAAAAATTGGGTCAAGTAGCATGCTTTAATGTTTTAAAATGTTACTTAATAAAACTGACTGAGACAAGATATGCAGCACGTTCTTGTACTTGGTATTACAACTCCTATTGACGATTGCTACTTGATGGTCAAAAAAATTTAAAAAAAGAGAAGAAGCCACACATGTCGCGGCGTATATAATAATACCTGCAGGGAATGTCATGTTTTAAATTTTTTGAAATTAAACCTGGAAAAAAAAAGTCTATAAAACCAACACCCATGTCATTTAAAATGATGAGGTAGATTTTTTCCTTTGCAGTAAAGTGAAGGTAACAAAAAAAAATCCATACAACTTTCAAATCCTCTTTTTTTAAAAAAAAAAAAGTTCTGGTTATAGTCAGTTTCACAAATAAGACATTTATAAACCAAGAGGTGGAGAGGTCATACTCAGACAAGTTCTTTACTTGATGTTTTACTCGGAGATTCAATAATCAGTCTTGGATCAATCAACTCTCTCCAGAAAACGGTGATCTTCCTCTCCTGTGTCACAGCATACTCCACTACCTCGGTTCCATTTTCGTTGTGATAAACCAAATCAAATTTCCCAGGTTCCTTCACAGCAGGTAAAGATGAAAGAATTTCTATGTCTACTTGCTAAGTTTCTGGATTGTGGCTTAATATTTTTCCTTCCTTATAGTCAGAGACATCAGGAGAGTAATCAGATGTTAGTTCCAAAAGCTTAAATGCAATCTTTTCTCCAACTTGAGGGGCAGCTGCCAGCAGTGGTAACAGAGTATAGTCCTTCTTGTGTCTCTCTACTGGATTCTGGATAATAGTAGATGAGTTTGTTATTGTTTCATTTAACTGCTGCTGCTTCTGGTATTCAGTGTTTCTATTTAGAAGACTAGAAACAGCCTGCCCTCGTCCTCGCCCTCTCCCACACATGCCCCGACCCCTAGCTCCCTTCCAAGAGAGAAGGTCCTCTCCTCTACCCCATCCTCTTCCTAAATTAGTGGGGAGAGACGTGTTGGAAGGAGGACCAGGAGCTTGTCTGCCACAGTTTAAGTCAGAATGCTTCCACCCAGCAGCACTTGGAGACTGTGACGATGACCCTGGACCAGGACAACCTCTTCCTGCAAAGAGGCCTACGGTCTTTAAGAAACTGGCAGCACGCTCCGGGGTTGTCTTTGATATCATGCACTGGTCATCTGACTCTGAACTAGAGTCTGAACTAGAAGATGATGAGGTCTTGTCCTTGCTGGGGGTAAGGTTAAAGCCAGCTTTTGTAGCCAGTTTGTTTGCAGCTGGGTTTTTTGTAGAGGGTCCTTCCTTTGATAACTCAGCTGATACTTTCTCTGAGGAATTTCTGACCTTCAAAGTGGCATTACTGAGAACATCGCTGGCGGATTCATGAGAAGACTCAGACTCCGAGGAGGAACTGGGACTATCTTTTGAACAAACGCCTACACCACCTTTCTTTCTGACTTTAGCAAGGCTGTTTCTAGCAGAACCTTTTGGAGGACTACAGCTCTGGATGGTCCGCTCTTTTACTGCCTGCGCTTTTGGAGACTTGGGATTCTTCGTCTTTTTTTTATATTCACATTTCTCCTTTTTCTTTGGTGATTTTCTTTTGGTTTCTTCATCACCATCATCCACTACACCACATGTTGCTTTGTTTTTTCTCTTACTTTTTTTCCTCACAGTCTGATCTATGATAGCTTTTGGCTCTAGATCCAAGGCCTTCTCATTATTACTATTGTTCTCTCGCCTCTTCCAGTATGTCTTTGAATATTTGTAACCTAGTTCAATTTCTTCATCCTCCTCTAACTTAAATGCCCGCTTCTTTGCTTTTCTAGCTGATAAATCAGTACTGTCACCATTACTACCTATTATAGAATTCTCAGCAACTTCTCTCTCTTCTAATTTAACTCAGAAGTCTCAGGGGATACCGGGCACAAGAGAACTGAGGTTGGACAACGCACACAGTATGTGGAAAACATGATTCCGCTGTGTCAGCCTGGGTCTCCTACACCCTGACCCTGAAAGCCACCAACCGTAAGGCCAGGTCTCCACGCATCTGCACCATGCTAAGTGAAGATTTTGTTACAACAAGGCTGAAAGACACACGGGCCCCGCTTGTACCCATCACAGTTTTTTTTTTTTCAAGCTTGGTCCACCTGTAATTAGCAGCATCCCGGGGAAGGACGCCCGTTAAAATACAAATTCTTGAGCCCAGTACTTAACTAGACCAGTCAGGATCTCCGGGGTTCATGAAAGCACGTTTTCACAGTCGCTCCCCATGCCCTCCCCACGCCTCGCCCCCTCCTCACCGCGGCCTAGCTTCTAATATACTTTTAATTATGTAAAACATTTACATAGTTCCAAGGTTAAAACTATATAAGGAAGTAAATTCATAGAATTACTCTATTCCCATACTGTTCCTTCCCTCTCTTTCTATAGGTAGCCATTTTTGGATAAGTTCTTGGTTTATTTTATTTATTTATTTTGGAGACAGAGTTTTGTCTGTTGTCTGGAATACAGTGCCATGGTGCCATCATAGCTTACTGCAACCTCACACTCCTGGGCTCAAGTGATCCTCTTTTTTTTTTTTTTAAATATATCTCTATATATTAATTTCAGAGTATTACAGGGGTACAAATGTTTAGGTTACATATATTGCCTTGCCCCGCCCAAGTCAGAGCTATGAGCGTATCCTACCCCCAGATGGTGCTTACCACACCATTAGGTGTGTATGTATATACCCACCTCCTCCTTCCCCCTCCCACCTGCCCAACACCAGATGAATGTTACTACCATATGTGCACACAGGTGTTGATCAATTAATACCAATTTGATGGTAAGCACATGTGGTGCTTGTTTTTCCATTGTTGTGATACTTCGCTTAGTAGTAGAATGGGCTCTAGTTCCACCCAGGATAATACAAGAGGTACTAGGTCACCACTGTTTTTATGGCTGAGTAGTACTCCATGGTATACATATACCACATTTTATTTATCCACTCATGTATTGATGGGCACTTGGCTTGTTTCCACATCTTTGCAACTGTGAATTGTGCTGCTATAAACATTTGAATGCAAATGTCTTTTTTTCCTTTGGGTATCACCTGACTCATCCTTCCGGCTAGCTGGGACTACAGGTGCATATAGCCATACCTGGCTCATTTTTTTCTATTTTTCTGTAGAGACAGGGTCTCACTCTTGCTCAGGCTGGTCTCAAACTCCTGACCTAAAGCGATCCTCCCACCTGGGTCTCCCAAAGTGGTAGGATTACAGGCATAAGCCACTGTGCCTGGCCATATTTCTCCATTTTTTTTTCATGAAAATATAAGCAAACATAAACACACACACACACTCTTACTCATATATTTCCTTCCTTTTCTTACCCTAAATGCCGCACTCTATGAACCAGAAGGATCCAATTAAGAGGGAGGTGCAACCATGTATTTCCTCTGTTCACAGCCGGCAGCTCCCCACCTGCCCTGGAATCAAAGCCAAACCCTACGTTCTGGCTCCCTGTTACTTCATGACCTTATCCCTGCCAACATATCGTGAGATATATCAAATTCATGGATGGGATGACTCAACATTATAAACATGACAATTTTCCCAACCTAATAATACAAAAAGTCAGGGTATTATAATAAAGATCCTAGTAGGCTTTTTTTGTAGAAATTGACAAGTCCATCTTAAAATTAATAAGAATGAAGAAGAATAATCAAGACAAGTTTTTTAAAAAACAAGAATCAAGAAGATCCTTTCCCATAGAGACTTGAGAGCTGTATACTGAGTAGGAACAGTAATTAACAGCTAGTATTTATTGAACATTTCTATATTCCAAGCATTGCTCTAAGCACATTACACGTATCCTAAAGCCTCAACAATCTTGTGAAAGTAGGTATTATTAGGATTTAATTACAGATAAGAATTGTGAGGTATAGGCAGATTAATTCATTCAAAGGCACAAAGCTAATAGGTCATAGAGGCAGAATTTCCACCTGGGAAGTCTGACTCAAGAACCTATGCTCTTTCTTACCTGTTTCATTAAATTGTAACTAAAACAGTATGGTATTAGCTCAGAGACAAACAGACAAATGTAACAGAAAGCCAAGACACAGACTCATGAATAAATGAGACCTTGGTCTATAATGGATAAATAATCAGTATAAAAAGAAGAAAGATGGACTAATCAATAAATAGTGCTGGAGCAATTAATTATCCATATGGAAAACAATCCAGTAAGAGCCTGTTTCACATAATTTATAAAGCTAAACTCAAGCTAATATTAAAGATAAAACCATAAAAGAAAAATTAGGCTGCATTAAAATTAGTGACACCTGTATGAACAAAAGCACTATGAACAAAGCAAAAAAGCAACAGGCTGGAAGAAAGCACCTGCAACCTATATAGCAAAGCATCAGCAAGTAGAGTCCACAACAATGTCTACAAATCAGTAAGGAAAAGCCAGGTAACCCAACAGAAAAACAGGAGCGGGCCGGGCGTGGTGGCTCACGCCTGTAATCCTAGCACTTTGGGAGGCCGAGGCGGGCGGATTGCTCAAGGTCAGGAGTTCGAAACCAGCCTGAGCGAGACCCCGTCTCTACCAAAAATAGAAATAAATTAATTGACCAACTAAAAATATATATACAAAAAATTAGCCGGGCATGGTGGCGCATACCTGTAGTCCCAGCTACTCAGGAGGCTGAGGCAGTAGGATCGCTGAGCCCCGGAGATTGAGGTTGCTGTGAGCCAGGCTGACGCCACGGCACTCACTCTAGCCTGGGCAACAAAGTGAGACTCTGTCTCAAAAAAAAAAAAAAAAAAAAACAGGAGCGAGAGATTTAACAAGCTCAAAAGCAGAAACCCTTCATTTTCACTGTAGTTAGAAAAAAAAAAAAAAAAAAAAAAAAAGCAGAAACCCAAATGGAAGTAAGTGTACGAGAAGATGTTCAGCCTCACTAGGAACCAGTGAAATACAAATCAGTGCAGTAATGAACTACCACTTCACAACTATCCAATTGGTTAAAATGACCAACTCTGGCAATGTAAAGTGCTGATGTGGCTGAAAGAAGTCTGAATAAAAATATTAGCATGTAAATTGGCACGGCATTGGAGAGAAATTGGGTGATGCCCCATGAAGACAAAAAGATGAAAACCCAATGACCCAGCAATTTCAATTACAGCAACAAGACTAGAGATATACCCAGACACTTGCCCAAGGATATATGCTTAAGAATGCTCTCTGCAGCAGTTTGCAATTGCAAAGTAATCAACAGTAGGTGATCAGATAAATTCAAATTATCTGCTCACCTATCAGTTGGTGAGCAGATAAATTGTGCCTTATTCATGCAATGGCATAATATACAGTTAATATATCTCTACATATCCACATGGATGAACTTCAAAAAATATACTGTTTCATTTAAAAAAAAAAAAAAGCTAAGCTGTAAAGTAAATGTAAAGTATGACACCATTCATAAATGTTCTAATTATATAAAACCGTAACATTTTTTTTTCTTTTTGGAGACAGGGTCTTGCTATGGTGTCCAGGCTGGCCTCAAACTCCTGGCCTCAAGCAAACTTCCTGCCTTAGCCTCATAAGTAGCTGGGACTATGGGTGGACACTACATATTTATTCTTTACGGATACGTGCACACATTTTAACAAGAAAAAAATAATACAGAAGAACAATCATACCAGAATCAGAATGGGACAAAAGGTAGGGTTTTGGCAGTGTAGTTTTTGTTTTTTGTGAGATAGGGTCTTGCTCTGTCATCCTGGGTACAGTGAAGTGACATCATAGCTCACTGCAACCTCAAACTCCAAGCAATCATCCTGCCTCAGCCTCAAGTAGCTGGGACTATAGGCAAGTGGCATGACATCTGACTAATTTTTTCTATTTTTGGTAGAAAAATAGCCTCTTGCTCATGCTGGTCTGGAACTCCTGACCTCAAGCAATCCTCTTGCTCGGCCTACTAAAGTTCTAGGATTAGAGGCATGAGCCACCACATTCAGCCAGTTACATTTTATTACTTTAAAAAAATTTGGAGCAAATATAGAAAATGCTAACATCTTTTAAACCTGGGTGGTAAGTACTTGGATACCTATTAATATTTTTATAAACGTTTTATATTTTATATGATCTATGTTTGAAATAACTAAATTTCATTCATTAAAATTTCAAAAATCTCATGATGTCTGCCCTGCCTAGTAGACAGAGATGCTATATGGATCAAGAGAAATGGCTTAAGCATAATTCTTGGTAAACCCTATGGTTCTCATTAGACACGAGGCATTATTACTTATAATCCAGACAATGAACTCTGGGTCTTAGAGCCTCGTATAGTTTTTCACCTATATCAACATTATCTTGATTATTCATTTTTTCATTGGATCTGACTCTGAATGACCCTCCACAGTTTTTACAGTTAATTTTTTTCTTTTTTTTTTTTTTGAGACAGTGTCTCATTTTGTTGCCCAGGCTGGAGTGAGTGCTGTGGCGTCAGCCTAGCTCACAGCAACCTCAATCTCCTGGGCTCAAGCAATCCTGCTGCCTTAGCCTCCCGAGTAGCTGGGACTATAGGCATGCGCCACCATGCCCAGCTAATTTTTTCTATATATATTAGTTGGCCAATTAATTTCTTTCTATTTATAGTAGAGACGGGGTCTTGCTCTTGCTCAGGCTGGTTTCGAACTCCTGACCTCGAGCAATCCGCCTGCCTTGGCCTCCCAGAGTGCTAGGATCACAGGCGTGAGCCAAGTTTTTACAGTTAAATCAAACCTCAAACCATGGCTATCATTAAAAAGATTTAATCAAATCTGTTATTGCAAGCTTTGAAGATAACTATAGAAAGGTTACCCTAAAAATGCTCTGAGCAATATTAGTTTATAGCCTCTCAAAGTGGCTATCTGAAAAGGAAGAACTCTCATGGAGGTGTCCATCCGTGATGTTCTTTGTTTACAGCATTTTCCCACTGATCAGTTGCATCTACCTCCAGAGGTCACAAGTCTGCTCAGCACAATTCTACTTGGTGGTTAAGACAATGACTCTCCAGTGTTCTGGCTGCTTGGGTTAAATCCTGGCTCTGACCTTTTCTATACATAGACCCTGGTTCAAGTTATTTAACCTTCCTGGTTTCCTCAACAATACAGGATTTTAGAAAATGCATTATGAAAATTAAATGAGATAATGCAGGAAAAGCACTTAGTCCAGCACCTAGCACAAGTCCACAGTAAAAGCTACTGCTATTGCTGCTGTCACTGTTAACAATACTGACAAGAACTGTGTCTCTTATTTCCTTGCTGTTGTCTCAGAAGAACTTGTGAGCTCAGGGGTCAGCAGACTTTTTCTTAAAGGGTCAGACAACAAATATTTTAGTCTTTGCAGGGCATAAAATCTCTGTAGTAACTACTCTACTCTGCCCTTATATCCTGAAAACAGGCAAAGAGATACATAAATGAAGGGGTGTTGGTGGAATCCCAATAAAACTTTATTCATAAAAATAGAAAGCAGGCCAAATTGGGCCTGTGAGCCAGAGTTTGCTGATCCCTGATCTAGATGACTGTACATGCTATTTGCATGTGCATATATTTAAATGGACTATGCAATCAGTGGTCAGAGTACAAGGATATTAGCTGGATATAGTGGTATGTGCCTTGAGTCCCAGCTATTCAGGAGGCTGAGGCAGGAGGGTCACTTGAGCCCAGGAGTTCAAGGTGGCAGTGAACTGTGATCATGCCTGAGAACAGCCCCCCATACTCCAGCTTGGGCAACACAGTGAAACCCCATCTCTAAAAATGATATTACTCCTATATTTGGTAACGAGCACTTCCTTTTTTCTCTCTTCCCTGTTCTATTTTCTATAACTTACTTGGCAGCCCTATAAGTACCCAGCAGATGCAAAACAGTGACCATGAATTCAGAGAGTATATCAAAAGATAAAGTTTCACCACATGATGGTTTTGGTACAGGACTTACACCTTTATAATTGACCAAAAGCTAGTGGCTTCCCTAAAAGAAACCCCAAAGATGAGCAAAACTTTTTTTTTTTTTTTTTTGAGACAGAGTCTCGCTTTGTTGCCCAGGCTAGAGTGAGTGCCGTGGCGTCAGCCTAGCTCACAGCAACCTCAAACTCCTGGGCTCGAGTGATCCTTCTGCCTCAGCCTCCCGAGTAGCTGGGACTACAGGCATGTGCCACCATGCCCGGCTAATTTTTTTATATATATATCAGTTGGCCAATTAATTTCTTTCTATTTATAGTAGAGACGGGGTCTCGCTCTTGCTCAGGCTGGTTTTGAACTCCTGACCTTGAGCAATCCGCCCGCCTCGGCCTCCCAAGAGCTAGGATTACAGGCGTGAGCCACAGCGCCCGGCCAGATGAGCAAAACTTTAAGGAAAAAAGCAGCCAGATTTTCTTTTCGGTCTTAGTTTTTTCTTGCCCTCATTATTTTCCAATTTGCTGTAGGGAAACAGTAAAGAGGAAATAAGGGTATACTCATGTTCGTAACTAATTCATAAATCCCCTTCCTGCTCCACAATTACCAGAAGCTGTCTAGAAGCCATTGGTAATCACACTGGGGACAAGTTTCTACATTATTCCTAATAGCAGCCTCCATCTGGAAGAGCCCAGCCCTCCATATTGCCTCTGCCCCCAACCCCTTTCTCCTCAGCCCCCCGAGCTGCTGGGAGGGCCCAGCCGAGAGGTGGCAGCATGGTGGCTTCCTACTGGGAGTCTGCCCTCTGTGCGTGTGGACTTGACAACACGGACAGAGGACGCCGAAACCCGTGTCTGCTGGACTCACCCGCAGCTGGAGGCTCAGGGCCCTGCGCTTGTCAGCAGAGGCGTGGAGGGCACAGCTTACACGGACCTGTCCTAGTCGCTGCCTCCACTCGCTCCACCACATCCTGCCGAAGAGCAAGTTGAAAATGGAACGAGTCAGAGAAAAAGCCACCCAGAAAAATGGGCAGTTAGTGCTGGGCCTCAGACACTCAGCTCAAGTCCTTCTCCCTCACAGAACCATCTCTAGACAGACATCTGCTAGATCCACTGCTGGGAAAAACCAAAACAAAACAATCAAGAAACAGTCCCAGAGCCACCAATTGAGGGTTGGAAACTGATAGTTCCTAAGCCTCCGACACTATAGACGTGCTCTGTTTGGTCTACGCAGTTCGGTTTTTTAAAATATGAATTATGAGCCGGGTGCAGTGGTGTGCTCCTATAGTCCTCAGGAGGCTGAGGCAGGAGGATTGCTTGACCCTAGGAGCTGGAGACCAGCCTAGGCAACATAGTCATAGCCTGTATCTAAAAAAAAAAATTTTTTTTGAAACAGAGTCTCACTCTGTTGCCCAGGCTAGAGTGCTGTGGCATCAGTCTAACTCACAGCTACCTCAAACTCCTGGGCTCAAGCAATCCTCTTGCCTCGGCCTTCCAAGTAGCTGGGACTACAGGCATGCACCACCATGCCCGGCTAATTTTTTCTATATATTTTTAGTTGGTCAACTAATTTCTTTCTATTTTTAGTAGAGATGGGGTCTTGCTCTTGCTCAGGCTGATCTTAAACTCCTGACCTTGAGCTATCCTCCCACCTCGGCCTCCCAGAGTGCTAGGATTACAGGCGTGAGCTACCACGCCCGGCCTCTAAAATTTTTTTAATTAAAGAGAAATAAATATGAGTTATTGCCAACATTTAAAAATCACGAGATTCCACAGAATAATCTGCAAATAAGGAACTTGCAAACAAGTAACTTGCCTGAGCTTATACAGGTTACAATTGACAAAACTAGGGTTCACCCACCAATGCTATTAACTGCTGCTCTGCACGGCATCTCATCAGTATTGTGGACATGCTGGAGAGACATCAATTAGTCCACTTTTAAAGCCAGATGTGTAACAATGAGCTGTTCTACTTGGGGACTGATTTTAGATTTTTAGTTTTGCTGGATCCCTTCCCTTCCTACTGTCCTGGTTAGACTTTCATCATTTTACTTTTGGTTTCTTTCTACTTATTTTCTAATTTGCTTTAGGAAAACAGTCATGAGGAAATAAGAGTTTGTAAGCTCTGCTTTACAGAAACACTCACTTTGCCTGGTCATTCCAATCCAGTAGTACCCAACCTTTTTGGCACCAGGGACCGGTTTCATGGAAGACAATTTTTCCACGGACTGGGGTGGGGGGTGGAATGTTGTGGGTGTCGGGGCACTGGTACAGAGCTCAGGTGATGATGTACAGCCCCTTTCCTAACAGGCCACAGACCAGTGCCGGGCCTCAGTTTGGGGACCGCAGTACAAAAATTTCTCTTAGACCATGCTCACCTGTACCATTCACTTTAAAACCTCAAGGTATCTTACATTACTACTCATCGTTTTAAACACTTAGTGAATTACAAGTTCCTGAATATAGCCCTAGCACCAATACAGTACCAGGAACATTTTAAGCCCTCAGTAAATATACATTGAGCAGATGAATTAATTATGTAAGAATATCTCTCATAGACTCAAGTAAAATTGCATACAAATTAAGCATTTAAAAATACTTGCTGAATTAATTTTGAATACTGCTCTTATCCATACTGTATTCAGCACCCAGTTCTTCTAGGTTGAAACTGTGCTTTTAACATACTGCCTTTTGGGATACCAGAAGACCACCAAAGACAACATACAGGGGAATCAATCCTAGAATAAAGCAGCCCATTGTTACACATCTGGCTTTAAAAGTAGACTGATTCATGTCTCTCCAATGTGTCCACAATACTGATGAGACGCAGTGCAGAGCAGCAGTTAAGAGCATTGGTGGATGAACCCTAGTTTTGTCAATTACAACTTATATGAGTTCAGGCAAATTACTCAACCTCTCTGAGCCTTCTTGTTTATCTCTCTTTTTCTTTGACACAGAGTCTCACTGTGCCCCCCTCTTCCTGCCACCCGTTAGAGTACACTGGCATCATCACAGCTCACCTGCAACCTCAAACTCCTGGGGCTCAAGCAATCCTTCTGCCTCAGCCTCCAAGTAGCAGGGACTACAGGCATGTGCCATCACACCAGCCTATTGTACACATCTTTTTTTTTTTTTTTTGAGACAGAGTCTCACTTTGTTGTCCAGGCTAGAGTGAGTGCCGTGGCGTCAGCCTAGCTCACAGCAACCTCAATCTCCTGGGCTTGAGTGATCCTTCTGCCTCAGCCTCCCGAGTAGCTGGGACTACAGGCATGCACCACCATGCCCGGCTAATTTTTTTATATATATATCAGTTGGCCAATTAATTTCTTTCTATTTATAGTAGAGACGGGGTCTCGCTCTTGCTCAGGCTGGTTTTTGAACTCCTGACCTTGAGCAATCCGCCCGCCTCGGCCTCCCAAGAGCTAGGATTACAGGCGTGAGCCACAGCGCCAGGCCTTATTGTACACATCTTAATCTGCACGATAATGGTGCTTAAAGTTTATGGTGAGGATTAAATGAGGCACTTTACATAAAACAATTAACATGCACAAACTTAACACGGGGTTTAGAACACAGTAAGTACTCAATTAGTGTTAATTATGATTATGTGGAAACCTAATCTTATAATTGAGTAAGTTATCAATAAGTATTTACTAGGCATCAACTGTGTTCAAAACCATTGCCTTAAGGTGGGTTTTAATGCTGCTTTCCAGTAGCAGAGAGCTACTGAGGCAAAATGAAGGCTGCTGATCTGTAGGGCAACTGAGGGCACTCACCGTAAGATACTCCGCTGCCTAAGCTCCAGAGCGGTGATCTGCATCTGAAGTTTGGTCCTACGAACCACCACATAGATGAACCAGGACTTCCAGGCCTGTCGCATCTTTTGCCTTGCATCTAGATTCACGAAGACATTTTTAAAAAAGTATGGGGACAGATGGATTAATATGGGTTGTAATAAAATCTCAAGGGTTCTCTAAACTCATCCCTCCTTTGAATACCTAAATCCCTCCAGCCTTCAAGTGCCCCCTGCTGGAAAACTTGTGAAGCACTACAAAATTAATAAGCATGCAAGCAAATTGAAGATTTTATATATGTGATATTTACAAAGCATTTAAAGGAAAATAAACATACTAGACTGTTAAGAAAGCCTTTGCTTTAAACGCTTTTATTTTTATAGACATATTCTACAATATTTAGATGGAGTGGTGTAAATAAACAGGCAGCAAAGAAGTGAGTGGGGAAATGGATGTAGCAAGAATGGCTTGAGTTGGCAATTGTTGAAGCTGGGTGATGAACATAGGGAGGTTCATTTATCTTTCAATTTTGCAGATATTTAAAATTTTCAATAATACAAAGTTCAAGAAGAAGAAATTATGTTATAAAACTTGCTGTTTGAAACAATAATTGTGAAGTAAAATAAGAAAAAAGGAAGGGATATATTTGTTGAGGAAGCAAAATAAGAAGGACCAGTTACTGATCCTAGAAGAAAGACAATTCACTAGATATTTACTATATGCAAAGGCCTGCAGGTCTCACTTTGTGTTTAATTCCATTTTCATCATGAAAGTCACCACTAATGAAGATAATTTGTTTTTTTTCTTAAGTCAAAGGAGAAAATAAAATTATGTAAGCCATTTTTAGGACAGTCTTCAAACTATGGTCCATAGGACTATAGCTATACTTTATATTCATAGTTGTTGACAAGACATACCAAAATGTGAAGGACAATTTAACACGTAGTTCCTTTGGGACCACCCTGGACCGTAGGTATCAGAGCCCCTCAGGTCACGAGGACTAGAAAGGTGCTGTGGTTTAGAGTTTGGGACCCTAAGACAAGCCAGGTTTCAATATTGACCCTTTCACTTATTAGCTAAGTAATTTCATACAAGTTCCTCACCTGTAAAATAGTATCTCCTTTAGGTACGTTTGTAAAGTGCCTTATCTATGAGAAATATCTCCAATATCCACTAGCTATTATTTCCTGAGTGTGGAACATAGGAATCTGCATTAACTATCTCTGCCATGATTCTGATACATATGGCAAACTGAGAACCATGCTTGCCTAAGGCCTGAAAGTGCTTGCAGACTTTTTATTTAACAGTGTAAGAATGAATGGACACTCCCTGGAGTTTGTGGGCATGGGCTGAAATAACTATCATATGTCAGAAATAATTCTTTTTATTTTAAAAATTCAAGTGACTTTTCCCTTTTATTCCATAATCTAGAGCTGTATTGCATGCCCAAACCATGAAAAACTACAGGAAAATCTGTAGAGGAGTACCCACTCAAGAGATCATCCATTCTGAAAAATATGAAAGAGAATCTGACAAATCTTCTCTTTGACCTAGAGTTATCCTATCTCAGGGAAAATGTGTTTGTCCTTTCCAAAGGCTTCTGCCAAGGTTAAATTGGGCTTCTTCTTTAGCCATGTACTTCCTTTCTTACCATGACTCTCAGCTCTGATGTACTTGCTCCTCTTCTCCTGCTGCTGATGCACATAGGTCTTCCAGGTCTGGAACATCAGGTTGTACAAGTAATATCTGTGGAGCCAAAAAAGCAAAATGGCATTTCTTTAAAACAAAACAACAAAACAGCTACTAATCCAACACACCCACTCTCTTCTATACACAGAAAAAATTGAAATGGAAGCTTCTGACACAAAAGGGCTATCTCTGCACCAAAGCTAAAATTTCATTTCTTATAATCACAGTGAAACCTATTCTCCTTGAAGTAGAGTCCACACCTTAAAGTATCACTGCAGATGAAAAGGCTTGACTTCAAGAATAACTTCACTTTCAGCATCCACAAAACTATGATAGCCAGGTGCGGTGTAATTCTAGCCCTCTGGGAGGCTGAGGTGTGAGGATTGCTTGAGCTTAGGATTTCAAGACCAGCCTGAGCAAGACTCTGGCTGGGCATGATGGCTCACGCCTATAATCCTAGCACTCTGGGAGGCCGAGGAGGGAGGATCGCTCAAGGTCAGGAGTTCAAGAGCAGCATGAGCAAGAGTGAGACCCTGTATCTACTAAAAATAGAAAGAAATTAATTGGTCAACTAAAAATACATAGAAAAAATTATCCGGGCATGGTGGTGCATGCCTATAGTCCCAGCTACTTGGGAGGCTGAGGCAGGAGGATTGCTTGAGCCCAGGAGTTTGAGGTTGCTGTGAGCTAGGCTGATGCCACGGCACTCACTCTAGCCTGGGCAACAAAGTGAGACTCTGTCTCAAAAAAAAAAAAAAAAAATAAATAAAAGAACGATGATACATGCTAAAAAAGAGCAAGACTCCAACTCTAGTAATAACAGAAAAATCAGCTGGGTATGGTGGCGTGTGCCTGTAGTCCCAGATACTCAGGAGGCTGAGGCAGAAGATCATTTTAGCCCAGAAGATTGAGGTTGCAGTGAGCCATGATGATGCCACTGCACTCTACCCAGGGTGACAGAGTGAGACTCTGTATCAAACAAAAAAACAAACCCTGTCCACCCATCCCCCAGAATACTCCTGGAATTAGAAATTATATAAAAGCAAGAATCAGTGAGAAAAAAAACATTCAGATCATAAGCATGGCCTACACATGATGGCTACCTTAATTAGAGGGGTAGGGATTTGTGTGTGAGTGCACCCAGCTCATGCGTGCATGCTTAGGCTTAATTTAGGACTTTGATCTAGCTTACTCTAAAAAAGATTTGAAGAAAACCAGAAAGTGATATAAAACTTTGCTCCTTTTGACCAGAAACATGCTAACCAGTAATTATTTGGTAACATATATCAGTAAATTGAAGTAACATAACAGGAAATCTGACCTATAGTGACAGTCGGCTCGAACACACAGTTTCCACTCATGATGAGAAACCCACCATTCTTCTTTCCATTCATCAAAGACCTTCTGTAATATTCGCTGTTCATAGTAAAACCTAGGGCAATGAAAATAAAAAATCAGTGAAGTGTATATGATGATATTGGAGTTGACATTTATTCCCGAATCACAGTTTTATATCATTGCCTTCTCATAAAAAAAGTAAACAGCAAAATAGATTAAAAATAGACATATCTGGCCTGGGAGCAGTGGCTCACACCTGTAATCCTAGCACTTTGGGAAGCCAAGGCAGGAGGATTGCTTGAGCCCCAGAGTTGGAAGTTGCAGTGAGCTATGATAACACCACTGCACTCTAGCCCAGGCAACAGGGCAAGACCCTGTCTTAAAAAAAAAAGACATATTTAATTTTTTCAGGTCAGAACCTTAGAGCTACTTAAACTAGAAATGAGGCTAAAATAATTTCTACTATAGAACTTACCAATTAAAGATGTTAAAGTAAAATAAAAATCTGACTTTTCAAATACCATAAGTGAACTGAAAATTATTCAATTTTTTCATTCACCAGACTAAAAAATATTTATCAAAGAATGGTAATTGCATCTCATTTACATACATAGGAAATTAAAGTACTAAAATAAGCAAATGCCTTACAATATTCTTAGTCCTTAACAGGAACACAGTATATTTGTTTAACTGAAATCTGGCCAGGGGAATTGTAACAATAGCCAAAGACAGGTAAGAGAAAATAAAGAGAAGAAAAAGGAATAAGAAAGACAACAGGCTGGGCGCAGTGGCTCACGCCTGTAATCCTAGCACTCTGGGAGGCCGAGGTGGGCAGATTGTTGGAGGACAGGAGTTTGAAACCAGCCTGATCAAGAGCGAGACCCCGTCTCTACTATAAAACAGAAAGAAAGAAATTGGCCAACTAATATATATAGAAAAAATCAGCCGGGCATGGTGGCACATGCCTGTAGTCCCAGCTACTCGGGAGGCTGAGGCAGGAGGATTGCTTGAGCCCAGGAGTTTGAGGTTGCTGTGAGTTAAGCTGACGCCATGGCACTCACTCTAGTCTGGGCAACAAAGTGAGATTCTGTCTCAAAAAAAAGAAAGACAACAGAAGAGCAGTGACAAAGAGTGTTGATGCGAACAAAGCACTGTCAAGGTCATGGATAACTCAAGAACTCTTGCCCTGTCACAGTCACTTTGCACTTCTTTTATGCAGGTTACTAACCTATCCCTCCTCTTAACCCACTCAGTTTTTAAAAACTGGCTTACAAAGATATATATATATATAATGGAATTTATATCACTATTGTTTAAATGATAAAAAAGAAAAAGAAATACTAGAAATGCCCATCAAGAGAGAACAGGTTAAAGCGATTCAATCAATACTACGTACTTATTTTCTATAAATGAAGTAGAACTTAGGGTACTGAAATGGACAGATGCCCCACAAAAGTTGTTAGATGAAAAAATAAAGTTACGGCATGGTATGTATAATATGATATCATTTCGTTTTTTATTTTTGTTTTTTTTTTGAGACAGAGTGCCTCCCGAGTAGCTGGGACTACAGGCATGCACCACCATGCCCGGCTAATTTTTTCTATATATATTAGTTGGCTGATTAATTTTTTTCCATTTATAGTAGAGACGGGGTCTCGCTCTTGCTCAGGCTGGTTTCGAACTCCTGTCCTCAAACAATCTGCCTGCCTCGGCCTCCCACAGTGCTAGGATTACAGGTGTGAGCCACTGTGCCCGGCACATTTCTTAAAAATTAATATTTTATGTATTTCCAGCACCCGTATGTTGGAATGTACATTATATATACATACACATATGTATACATTTTTATATATGCATATTTTTTATTTTTTTTTTATTTATTTATTTTTTTTGAGACAGAGTCTCACTTTGTTGCCCAGGCTAGAGTGAGTGCCGTGGCGTCAGCCTGGCTCACAGCAACCTCAAACTCCTGGGCTCAGCGATCCTACTGCCTCAGCCTCCCTAGTAGCTGGGACTACAGGCATGCGCCACCATGCCCGGCTAATTTTTTTTGTATATATATTTTTAGTTAGTCAATTAATTTCTTTCTATATTTTGGTAGAGACGGGGTCTTGCTCAGGCTGGTTTTGAACTCCTGACCTCGAGCAATCCGCCCGCCTCGGCCTCCCAGAGTGCTAGGATTACAGGCGTGAGCCACCGCGCCCGGCCTTATATATGCATATTAACATATATATAAGCGTATGTGTATATATACAGAAAGGATATTATACATATTAAAAGCCTGAGAAGAGGTCCAGAATGCCAAACTATTACCAGTGGTTCACTCTCAGGGATGGATTTATAGGAGACTAGCATTTCCTAAATTATACATTTCTGTAATGTTTGAAAATTTTTTGAACACATTTGTTCACAATTTTTAAAAATTTTAATAGAAAATAACTATTTGCACATGGTAGAATAAACTCATTTACCCCCTTCCCTCCCTGAAAACTCACTAAAATAACAGCAAATAAAAAAAGCAGCATTTTTTTTTTTTTTTTTTTTTTGCGACAGAGTCTCACTCTGTTGCCCGGGCCAGAGTGCCGTGGCATCAGCCTGGCTCACAGCAACCTCAGACTCCTGGGCTCAAGTGATCTTCCTGCCTCAGCCTCCCAAGTAGCTGGAACTACAGGCATGCATCACCGTGCCTGTCTAAATTTTTTTCTATTTTTAGTTGTTTGGGTAATTTCATTCTATTTATAGTAGAGATGGGGTCTCATTCTTGCTCATGTTGGTCTCGAACTCTAGAGGCCTCCCAGAGTGCTAAGATTACAGGCGTGAGCCACCAACAAATGCATTTTAAAAGGTGTAAGCCCACAGAGACAGAATAGGGTGACAGACAGGAGCTGTCAACAAATTTTAGGCAATACAAAGCAGGTAGGTGAGTGACAAATGAATCACCAGACAGAGAAAACAGAGAACTAAGTGTCATGTGGAGGAAGAGGGAGACACAGACCCTAGCATGGCATGGGGTTGAGAGGCATCAAGAGCTAGGGGAGTCCTGAGCAGAGAGGAAAGCACAGGATTGTCTGCAAGCCTGTGTGTGTCAGTGCAGGTAGGCCCTTTGGATCCTGGTATTAACCCAAGCAGGGACTCAGGTTTACCCCTGGAGGGCTGAATCAGAGGGGCCTGAACTCTAGAATACCAGGCAAAGCTTTGGGGAGAGTCCTGAACTGAGAGACTACACACTGAACAGTGAGACCCACAATTCCATTCCTGTGCTTGTAGCCAAGCTTATAACCACCACCTCTTCTCCACCCCACCCCAGGAGTTTGAAATATCCCTATTCTCTAGGGAAAATTGATTAACTTAAATGGAAAGGCCTTCAGAGATGCGGACAGCTAGACATTCCCCAGTGAAACCACCTGATCTCCGCCCCACAAGCCTACAGTGAAGCCCTCAATTTCTAAGTCTCCATGCATACATATAAAAGCATCTAAAATTAAAATTAGCCTGGCATGGTGGCCCAGGCCTGTAGTCCCAGCTTCTTGGAAAGCTGAGGTAGGAAGATCACTTAAGCTCGAGGATCACTTAAGTTCAAGGAGTTCAAGGCTGCAGTGAGCTATGATCATGCCACTGTAGTCTAGTCTGGACAACAGAGTGAGACTCTGTCTCAAAATAAATAAATAAAATAAAATAAAATTCGCTTTTTAGTCCCTGACTCTTAACTATGAACAGACAACAAAGGATCTCTGGATATTTGAGGAAAAACTCCAACACAACACAAAAGACAAAAGCACAAAGAAAAAGGGATCTAAGAAGAAACAGACAGTGTGATAAGATAGATATCTTAATAACAAATAACCACATTACATTATCCTCAAAAAATTATGAGCCTCCAGGATGCTATATATAAAAAAAGGAACATTCGGAGAACAAAAAGGAACTCTTGGAAATTAAAAATATGCCGCAGAAATGAATAGACAGGTAAAACCAAAAGTTGGTTGGCCTTGTGGGCCACAGTAAGGACTCTGGCGTTTATGTTCAACAGAAAGCCACCGGAGATTTGACAGAAAAATGACTTGAAAAGAGACTAAATCAGGGCAAGGCAGGAAGAGGAGACCAATGAGGAGGTTACTGGAGTCATTCAGGGGAGAGATGAGGATGGTTTGGACCAGAGTGGTAGCAACTGGAGGTCTGAAAAGAGGTTGGATTCTGAACACATTTTGAAGGCTGAATTAACATGATTTGGGAATTTGGCATCTTTAAATTGGGGTGTAAGAGCAAAAGAGGAGTCAAGGATGACTCCAGGTGTCTGACCTGAACAACCTGAAAGGTGCTCAGTTTCCACCAACTGAGAGGGGGAAGCTCAATAGAGGAGTCTATGCGGAAGACCAGGATTTCAGTTTTTGACACCCAGTGGAGTTGTCACATACATGTCCAGAGTTCAAGGCAGACATTTGGGCTGGTGTGTACATTTGAGAATCATCATGGGATTTTATGACACTACCACAGTTGTGAGGTAGATAGCTGCGCAAGGACAGGTGTTGGGGTAATAAGAGGAGGAAGCAACAAAGGAGAGTTCAGGGGAACAGTCAATGAGGCAGAAGAAAAATCATTGAGCATGGTAACACAGAAGCTAGGAGAAGAGGACTTCCTTGAAGGGAATGACAGACTGTAATGCTACTTGGGAGGTTAGGTAAAAGGAATTCATCACTGATTTTAGCAAATTTAGTGACCTTAACCAGAACCAATTTGGTGGAGTGGTAGTACCAAAGGCCTTGTGGGGTGGGTTTTTGAGAGACTGTAAGAGCTGTTGGAGACATTGAGTATGGCCAAGAGATGTGATGCAATGGGGAGCAAAGAGATGGAATGCTAGCTGCAGGAGAGAGTAGAGTTTGGTCAAAAAGATTTTTTACTTCAGGATGGGGAAAATAACAGTATTTCTATCCTGATAGAAATAATCCAGTAAGAGGGAAAAACTGATGATGCAAAAAAGAGAAAAAAGCATTGCTTGAGTGATGGCCTTGGGTATTACTTGAGTGGAATATAGTGCACAAATCAAGGATCTCACCAGAGATGAAAGCATGGATAGTTCATCTGCCTAATGGGGAAGCAGGTTGTGGCTATAGATGCTGGCAGTGGGTAGATTTAGTGGAGGGAACTTGTGCAGGTCTCTTCTGTTGCTTCTATTTTCTCAAGAAAACAGGAAGCAAGGCCATTAGCTAAGAAAAAGGAAGAGAGATTTATGAACTAGATACTATAACTGGACATGACTACTTCATCTACTTCTCAAACTAGCCAAAAAATTTTGTTCAGATCTTCTCCGCAGAAAATTAAACCTCATATTTAAGACTGCATTATATATGGGCACATACTTTATATTTTTGCCCTACTAATGCAATGGTCATTTTGATTTGGTTTATGCTTATGAGAAAAAGTAAATCTCAATTTAAGACATTGTTAGATTTACTTAGAGTAAAATGCATTTCTAGCCGGGCGCGGTGGCTCACGCCTGTAATCCTAGCTCTCTGAGAGGCCGAGGCGGGCGCATTGCTCGAGGTCGGGAGTTCGAAACCAGCCTGAGTAAGAGCGAGACCCCGTCTCTACTATAAATAGAAAGAAACTAATTGGCCAACTAATATATATAGAAAAAATTAGCCGGGCATGGTGGCACATGCCTGTAGTCCCAGCTACTTGGGAGGCTGAGACAGAAGGATCGCTTGAGCCCAGGAGTTTGAGGTTGCTGTGAGCTAGGCTGACGCCACAGCACTCACTCTAGCCTAGGCAACAAAGCAAGACTCTGTCTCAAAAAAAAAAAAAAAAAAAAAAAAATGCATTTCTAACTAACATAGCCAGCATTGCCCAAATACTTGAAATATAAATAACCATTATTTGAAAAGAGGTTTCCAGTCAAATATGGTCAAATATAGGTTTAAAAAATTAAATAAAGAAAATCTTAAGAAAACAATACAAGTAGCAATACTTTTCGATCTTTGAATCCCCATAAAACACAAAGAAAAACCACGTAGCAAAATCAAAACCCACGTACCAATTACAACAAAACTACATGAAAAAGTATCCTCATGAATCAAAAATGCAAGCAGATGAGAACTACACACAGTCATAAGACCTGCGTGGTAGAAACTTATGTGCAGGAAGAAGAAGCAACAGTGAGGGTGGCATCTGAGGAAGCTTAGAACAAGAGAACCCCAAAATAGTCAGTGAATAGTCACTGGAATGGGCAGAGGCCCAATTTGAGAGCAGCAGCTGAAATGGAGAGAGGGTTTTTCCTCTCCAGCACTGGGGCTCACATAAGAACTGAAATAGCTGGAGCAGTCCAGCTCCTTAGAAGTCTCAAAACCAACCCGCCAGGGCAGGGCTTCATACAGAGGAGAAAAGGCTGAGAGTAGAAGAATAACTGAGCAGAAGAGGGTCAAAAGAAACACAGTAAGAGAAGATCCAGACTAAGTGTTGTAGGGGGACAAAACTAGATACCCCATAGAACAAGCCACCACATTTCTGAACCCCAAACAAAAACAACAAAAGAGGGTGCTCTGTGAAATTAGGAATGCTTAAATGAACCTCGCCTCACTCTAAAAACTCAGGAAAACTAATTTCACATAAAAATGAACACGAAAGTATTTGAAATCAAATGCTATACGAAGTTATTGCGTGAGAAAAGACGATAAGGAGCAGACTAACATGTCTGTGGACAAGGAAAGTATGCCAGAAAGATTTGCCCACAAAACAGAAAAAAATTGTTACCCACCGTGTCAAAATAAGCTAAAAGATTTTTAAAAAGTAAATCTACATCTGGGCATATCATATCAAAACTTTTAAAAACTAAGACAAAGAATGAATCTTCAAAAGAGCAAAAATGAGGCTGGGTGCAGTGGCTCACGCCTGTGATCCTAGCACTTTGGGTGGCCGAGGCAGGGAGGATGGCTTGAGAACAGGAGTTCAGATCAGCCTGAGCATCGGCAAGACCCTGTCTCTACTAAAAATAGAAAAATTAGCCAGACATGGTGGTTCACACCTGTAGTCCTAGCTATTTGGGAGGATGAGGCAGGAGGATCACTTGAGCCTAGGAATTTGAGATTGCAGTGAGCAATGGTGACAGAGTAAGACCCTGTCTGGAAAAAAAAAAAGCACAAATTAGATAACAGCTTACAAATGGAAGCCATAAAACAATGGAATATCTTCAAAGTGTTGAGGGAAAAAACAGGGCAAGCTAGATTTCTATACTCAGTGAAAATATCATTCAAAAATGAAAGTGAAAAAAACAGTTTTAGACAGACAAAATCTGACAAAACACATCACCAGCAGACCTGCCCTAAAGGAAATACCAAGGATGTTCTAATGATAGGAGAAGGAAAGTCATTACAGATAGAAACCTAGAGATGCAGGAAAAAAAAAAAAGCAATAGAAAGGGTAAATATGTTAATAAATCTAAATGAATATTGGCTGGGCTGTATAAAATGAGAATAACAACATTTTGTAGGTTTAAACATATATACAAGGTCCGGCACGGTGGCTCACACCTGAAATCTGAGCACTTTGGGAGGCCAGGGCAGGAAGATCATTCAAGCAAGGAGTTCAAAACCAGCCTGAGCAACATATTGAGATCCCATCTCTACAAAAAAATTTAAAACTCAGCCAGCTGTGGTGGCGCACACCTGTAGTCCCAGCTACTGGGGATGTTGAGGTGGGAGGATCACTTGAGCCCAGGAATTTGAGGTTACAGTGAGCTATGATGACACCACTACACTCTAGTCTGGGCAACAAAGTGAGACCCAGTCTCTAAAAAAATTAAAAATATATACACATGAACTTAAAATACATTACAGTAACAGCATATAAGTAGAGAGGGAGACAAGTAGAGTGTTTTAAGGACCTTGCCTTCTCTGGGAAGAGGGTAAAAGACCAATTAACATGACAAGTTACAGATAAGTTATAGATACATGTTATATTCTTTATGGTAGTCAGTAAAAGAAGAGTAAAAGAGTATACAACTTCTAAGCTAACAGAGCAAAAAGTCAATAAAATACTAATTAGAAAAAATAAAAAGAGAGAGACTTCTGACAACAGCAAACCAGGCAATTTGGATCAACTCTCCCAGAGAACAAGAAAAGCAAGACCGAAAGCATGTATGTGAAGGTGCTGAAGAGCTCCTAAGGCAGTGCAGGAGGGCAGGGCCAACGTCCAGGAGAAGGAAAAGGAGAGGGGAGGAATCCTCCCACCTGCAGCAGGGACAGGCTGTGTTGTCACATCAGCAGCCTCACTGTAAAGACGCACAAAGCAGCAGATGGCGACAGCAGGCCCTCCACAAAGAATACAAAGGAACAATTCCAAAAAACACATATAGGCCAGGTTTGCTTGAGAGATGTTGGAATCAAAGAAAGTCAGTGTCATAAAATGCAACAGGAAAGGTTATAGTGAGGGGAAGAGAAAGAGGAGAGAGGCAAGGGAGAGAACCCATGATAATTCAGTTTTTAAGAAATGCTTACATTCTCAATGGCTGCCAGGTCTCCCTCTGAAACATAACCTGCACTGGCCCCTTCTCCCATCCCCATGGCCTCCTGCCCAGTGATCCTGACTCCTGTGACTTCCTCTTGCAGTCCACTCTAGCACCGCAGCTAAAGCAATGGTAACCCAAAAGCTACAGCAGTGCATGGTGGCAGTCTATAGAAAGCGAAGCTATGGGCTGGGCGTGGTGGCTCATGCCTATAATCCTAGCACTCTGGGAGGCCAAGGCAGGAGGATCGCTCAAGGTCAAGAGTTCAAGACCAGCCTGAGCAAGAGCGAGACTCCGTCTCTACTAAAAAATAGAAAGAAATTAATGGGCCAACTAAAAATATATAGAAAATTAGCCGGGCATGGTGGTGCATGCCTGTAGTCCCAGCTACTCAGGAGGCTGAGGCAGTAGGATTGCTTGAGCCCAGGAGTTTGAGGTTGCTGTGAGCAAGGCTGATGCCACAGCAAGGCACTCTAGCCAGGACAACAGAGTGAGACTGTCTCAAAAAAAAAAAAAGAAGTGAAGCTATGGCACAGGGATTTGCTCTTCACTAAAATTTCACTCTCCTCACTAAGGCCAATTTTCTTCCCAGGTTCTGCCCTAGGTCAAGCCAATTTGTCAGTCCTACCAGGGCCCTAAAAGAGCTCATTTACTTCCTGGGCAAGCACTTTTTTCCCAGAGAGGTCTTAGCCATCCTGGTTTCCTTACGTATGATCCTTTCATACATTATTCATTCATTCAGTCAACTAATATGTATGAAGTTGCTATTATATCACGTGGTTATATAAGGTACTGTTCCTGTCTGTTGGATGCTGGGTAGGAGAAGAGGAGGAATGTAACACCATATGCCATGATAAAGGTTATGTATAGATTTAACATAAAACAAAAATCTAGAATGAACTCAGGAGAAATTTGGTGTTCTGAGCTAATACTACCTGGCTTTAGAGGGAAATACTCTTCCGAAAGTCATTCGAATCCACAAATACAAGAACTTTCTGGCCACGCATCTGAAAGGAAAGAAAGAAAGGATATACACATTTTAAAACTTCATTTCACTTACATCATCAGTTTTCTGGAAAGGACAAGGAACCTTTAAGGTCCGAGGGGGAGGGATGCTAGTATAAGTAAAAAGATATCACAGCTAATATTGCATCAAATAGAGCGCAGGATGGGACAAATTTATAAAGCTAAAATCAAGCAGATTATTGTTATATTTTGAGATGCAGTTTCACTCTGTTACCTTCAGTGCTGAGGTAAAGGAAATATATAATTCTTTTGTTCATATTACTCTTATCTACAATGCCTGGCAAACACCCACTAATCCTGGACCTTCCCCAACCCAAACAGAGCAACTAGCTGTGTACTCTCAGCCCTCTGTTCAAAGCCCCCCTGTAACGTCATGACTCTCTCTCACAGTGACTGGCTTGCACAGTGCCTGTCATTCCTGCTGCACTCTGAGCCGGTAAAAGCAGGAATCACGTCTTACATAGTATCCCCAGTGCCTAGCACAGTGCCCGGTACACACCCAAAATGTTGGCTTGGCTTGTCCAGTTAACCTCTGGGCTTAGCTTGGAACTCTCTTTCCCCTGCCTTTCATCTGGCTTATTCTTACATTATCCTTCAGCACTCAACTTAAACTCCACTTCCCCCCAAAAAAGTCACTGCTAGCTACACTAGCGTGGCTATTCTTGCTATGTGTGTGTGTGGTACCACTTCCTTCTCCTCTCATTGCACTTAATCATACTTCATTGTTATGGCTTAACAGTCTATCAAGCCTACTTGATTTTAAACTTTCATGAGGTCATGGACCAACAATGTCTTATTCACCTTATATGCTCAGCATCATAACACCTGGCAAAGTAGGCATCTGATAAATTTTTGAATGAATAAATGAATGCCTTTAATATACTTCATCAAGAGTAGCAGAAGTTTTACAGCTCTTTTAGAATATCAGGATTTCTGGTAAAAACTTAGGGGAAAAAAACCTAGGGAGAAAAAAAAGGGTAGCAGAAAATGATCACTTTCTTTGACCATGTTTAGACTTTTTCTGGGAGAGCCTTGACAGCTTGCATATTGTAGGGCACAACTGGAGAATACGAAAGCACTCGTGAAGGCAGGTGACCACACATAAGCTCACCTGACACGCAATTCTTTTAAGCGGCCCCGTCGGGTCCACGTACGTGATGCGTGATATTGCACTGGAAGACTGGCGCTAGGTACCTTCCTCCGGATCCCGGAAAATGTAGGCGGCTTCTTGCTGGACAGTATATTTGGTTTCTTAGCAGCACCATCCCTAAAAGACCTTAAATTTGAGAAGGAAGCAAGGAGAAAACAAAATTATCTCTGCACACGATGAAAATACTTCATAATATACAAGCAAAACCAAAGATAAGCTCATTGAGACTGACAATGACTATGCTTCAAGGACAATAAGCAGCCTAATCTCTGACAGCCAGTAGAGGTGGGTACTGCTGGGTCGGCTCCTGGCAGGAACTACAGAGCTAGAGGGTACTCCAGAGTCATTAGGCCTAACACAATCTTTTGTATCTGATAATTTTTTTTTTTTTTGAGTCAGAGTCTCACTGTGCTGTGCAGGCTACAGTGCCATGGCATCAAGCTAGCTCACAGCAACCTCAAACTCCTGGGCTCAAGTGATCCTACCGTCTCAGCCTCCCAAGTAGCTGGGACTACAGGCATGTGCCACCATGCCCAGCTAATTTTTTAATATATTTTTAGTGGGCCAATTAGTTTCTTTCTATTTTTAGTAGAGACAGATCTCACTCTTGCTCAGGCTGGTTTTGAACTCCTGACCTTGAGCGATCCTCCCGCCTCGGCCTCCCAGAGCGCTAGGATTACAGGAGTGAGCCTCCGCGCCTGGCCTGTAGCAGATCATTTTAATGAGAATCATTTACAAATTGGAATCAGGTTCCTTTATATAAAAAATTAGGAAAGACTTTTAGATACTATGACTTTGATATCTATACAAAACCACATACTTACTATACTAAATTTTTGACCATTAATTCCACCTCAGAAAAATTAAGAAATTGTCTTTTACAATTATGGAAGGAGAAAGCAACAGCAGAACCCTGAATAGGAAGTGGAGGTGTTGGTATGCACTTGTAATTTAAAAAAAAACAGTATATTTCAGATCTCTCCCCACAGGAAATATCTAGAAGCAATGATATCCCATTAGCAATGAGCATGTTGAGACCAAATATTGTCTCTAAAATATCATTCCCAGCCAGGTGCAGAGGCTCATGCCTGTAATCCTAACACTCTGGGAGGCTGAGGCAGGCGGATGGCTCAAGGTCAGGAGTTCGAAAACAGCCTGAGCAAGAGTGAGACCCCATCTCTACTATAAGTAGAAAGAAATTAATTGGCCAACTAATATATATAGAAAAAATTAGCCAGGCATGGTGGCGCATGCCTGTAGTCCCAGCTACTTGGGAGGCTGAACCAAAGGATGGCTTGAGCAGAGAAGTTTGAGGTTGCTGTGAGCTAGGCTTATGCCACGGCACTCACTCTAGCCGGGGCAACACCTTTCCCTATTAAAAGGAACCAGGGTTCCTTAAAGGAATGGCTGGTTTTCACGTCTGGGAAAAGGGAAAAATAAGATGAACCTAGAATATCTTATTGGGTCAAAAAATAAGAAAGCATTCAAAGAATGATGGGAGCATATCAAAAAGACACATGAACCAGCTTGAAAAGCCTCCTACTGGCACAATTTGGGATAATTTGATCAATACCAGATTAAAACCTAAAGAACAGGAATGCATAAATCCATACTGATATAATAAATAAATAAATACATGGGGGAGAATGAAAAGCTCTGTTTTGCGGTAGAATGGCAACTAATATACTTGGAATGAAAGAGTTAGAAAGTCATGATTTAGGAACCATTATAGTAAAAAATTATTCAGACAGGAATGATCAATGGATATAAAACCAAATTGATACTAGCGTGATGAGGAATAGGATATTAACATAGTCTCAAAAATATTTCCCCACAAAATACTTATTACTTTATAGAGTAGAAACAGCAGGCACCATCTGACAAAAGTACCAGTTATATCAATGGTAATGGGGCCAGTCAACATGACATATCTCCTCATGTGATGCACTCAGAAGGATACAGGATCACTTTTGTGGTGATTCATGCCAAAAATGCATAACTGAAATCTAATCATGATCTAATCATGAAGACACTGAAGAAATCCAATTTGAGAAATATTCGTAAAAGGTAAGTGATCTGAACTCTTCAAAAATATCTGAGGCCTGGCGCGGTGGCTCACGCCTGTAATCCTAGCACTCTGGGAGGCCGAGGCGGGCGGATTGCTCGAGGTCAGGAGTTTGAAACCAGCCTGAGCAAGAGCAAGACCCTGTCTCTACTATAAATAGAAAGAAATTAATTGGCCAACTAATATATATAGAAAAAATTAGCCGGGCATGGGGGCACATGCCTGTAGTCCCAGCTACTCGGGAGGCTGAGGCAGGAGGATTGCTTGAGCCCAGGAGTTTGAGGTTGCTGTGAGCTAGGCTAATGCCCACGGCACTCACTCTAGCCTGAGCAACAAAGTGAGACTCTGTCTCAAAAAAATAAATAAATAAATAAATAAATAAATAAATAAATAAAAAATATATATATATATCTGAGTCATGAAAGATAAGGAAAGACTGAAAAAGAGTTCCAAACTGTAGGAGACTAAAAAGACAATATATAATGTGTGATCCTGGACTAGAAAGGAAAAGGATAAAAAGGGGAGTTTTTATTATATTTGGTTGTTTTATTTTTCTATAAGTAACATCATTGGGACAATTGGCCACACTTACTCTCAAACGGCTCAGGGGGAAAATATATGTAGTTGATTCTCTTTATTTGCAGTAGTTATATTCTATAAAGTCACTATAAACACTGAGGAAATACTGAACACCTGCTCCTAGGAGAAATCCAGGATAAGGTTCCTGTTGGCTTGTGAAAACATTTTCACCAGCTGATCAATAAATTCATAACCTTGTTTTTTTTTTTTTTTAATTTTTTATTTAAAAATACATAGGGTCTCACTCTTGCTAAGGCCGGTCTCGAACTCCTGATCTTGAGTGATCCTCCTGCCTCGGCCTCCCAGAGTGCTAGGATTACAGGTGTGAGCCACCATGCCTGGACTCATAACCTTGTTTTGTGTGCACTTCTGTTGAAAAATATCTTACTGGCCAGGCACCGTGGCTCACACCTGTAATCCTAGCACTCTGGGAGGCCAAGGCAGGAGGATCGCTCCAGATCAGGAGTTCAAAACCAGCATCAGCAAGAGTGAGACCCTGTCTCTACTAGAAAAATGGAAAGAAATTAACTGGACAGCTAAAAATATATAGAAAAAATCAGCCAGACACGGTGGCGCATGCCTGTAGTCCCAGCCACTCGGGAGGCTGAGGCAGGAGGATTGCTTGAGCCCAGGAGTCTGAGGTTGCTGTGAGCTAGGCTGATGCCACAGCACTCTAGCCTGTGCAATAGAGTGGAAGAAAAAAAAAAAAAAAAGAAAGCAAGCTATCTTACTTAATACACGTAGTGCTTAATTAACATTGAACTAATGACCAAAAGCACCGTAATTCATGCCTGAACAAAGCTTATCTAATACATATATTTTCTCCATAAAGTATATCACAGCCTTCCTGCACTTAGGAACACTAGGTAGCAGTTGAGCACTATATTTGGGGGTCATTTTAAACAGTGAACTCACCAATAAAAATCACAAAAATGTGAAAAACATGGTACTATATGGACCATAAACAAGTATACTGTGTACTTCCTCTGACTTCAGCTGGGAACATGTATATTGATTGAGTGACTCCAATTTTTTTTTTTTTTAATTTCAGCATATTATGGGGGTAGAGTGACTCCAATTTTTTACTACTCTGAATATATCCTCAAATAACTGCGGAAGTGCAGACAGAATTGATTTTGATATTACAAATAAATTTTAGAAAGTAGGTGAATTCGTAAATATAGAATCCATGAATAATGAAGATAATGAATGAGGACTGTGTATAGTATATATAGCAACATATATTATGTATATGATATGTGCATATATATATATACGTGGACAGAAAAAAGAGAAATAAGACAAATGTGATAAAATGTTGGTTGTAGCAGAATCTGGAAAAAGAAAGGTATATAAGAGTTCTTTGTCCTGTTCTTGCAATTTTTCTCTAAGTTTGAAATTATTTTAAAATAAAAGGTTAACAAAAGTTAAATAAGGCTTTTAACCCATTCACTTTAAAGCAAAAAGAAAAGAGGCCCTAGAAAGGTTAAACCCCATGAAACAGAGCCAGTTGGTGGAAGGAGTGCTGGGACAGTCATCTTTTGAAGCCCTGCTACATAATCAACAGCTGGTTAGTTCCCAACAGAAGGGAGCCCAAGCCTAAAGGCATCCCTGTCCCCACTGGTCTCTCCTTTCGTCTATAAACACTATGACCAAGTGGGATTTATCCAAGGAATACAGGCTGGTTTAACATCCAAAATTCAATTTATGTAATATACCCTATTAATAGAAGAACAAAAACCACACAATCATCTCAATAGATGCAGAAAAACGATTTAATAAAATCTAACACCATTCATGATAAAAACTCTCAAATGCCATAAGGAAAACAGATGACATACTAAAAATAGGATAATTTGAAAATGGCACATTTACAAAGGTTTGAGTATACAGGAACCACAAGGATCAGTGCAGGAACTTGAAGCTAAGTAGAAGCTGGCACCACCTGTAGGCCCAAAAGGAAAAGCGGATGGAACAACTACCAGAATTGAGCAGGAGAGTCACAGAGAGTCAGCAAACATCAGGAAGTGCTATGAGCCTCAGTGGAGAGACAGCCAATCCAAGGTATCTTGCAAGGTGGAAGCCAAGGCTATAAACACCTGCGCCTCCCTCTCTTCCCTCCTTCCTATCTCCTGCCAGGGCCCTCCCTATGGGCCAAACTCAATCAGGAAATCAGAGGGCCTTGGATGCAGATGAGTGTGGAAATTAGATCTGAAGTGTTACATTGAAGAAGGTATTCAGCACAAAGAGCTGATTTCCTAGCTCATTTACTTTGGAAGGATTGTAAACCAGAGTCTCCAGGACTAGAACTGGTGTCTTAACATTGTAAAGTTTCCCTGCTTCTCTCAGTGCACTAACGTGCTGACCTCCTACAGCACAGGCTCCCTGTTGCCTCTGCCTGGCGAAGACTACAACTGCCGTCACAGCACTCTCAGCACTGGGTGGGCCTCTCTCTCTTTAAGTGACTGTCTCAGCCTTAGACAAAAATCTCTGATTGGCCCTATGAGGTCACCGGCCCACCTCTGAACCAATCACTGTGTCCAGGACAGTGGGATACTCATAGCTGGCCAGCTGTGAGTCATATGCCCATCCCTGTGGGTCTGAAGCTTGTCAGTTCACAGACCTAACATCTTAGTCTCTTTCTTGTAAATTCCTTCTTTTTGCCTAAGCTAGCCAGAGTTGGATTTTGCTATTTGGAATCAAAAGAACCTTAATGCAGGCTGAAAGCAACCATGATCACAAGTAGGGGATAGATGGGCAGGCGTGGTAACTCATGCCTGTAATCCTAGCACCCTGGGAGGCTGAGGCAGGAGGATCACTAGAGGTCAGGAATTTGAAACCAGCCTGAGCAAGAATGACACCCCATCTCTACCAAAAACAGAAAAAATTATCTGGGTGTGCTGGTGCACACCTGTAATCCCAGCTACTCGGGAGGATCACTTGAGCTCAGGAGTTTGAGGTTGCAGTGAGCTATGATGATGCCACTGCACTCTACCCGGGGTGTCAGAGCAAGACTGTGTTTCAAAAAAAAAAAAAAAAAATAGGGGTAAGATACAAGAGCCAGCCTACCTCAATGACATAACTTGTAACCTCAGGAAAATCATCCTTACTTCTGCTCAAAAATCAAAACTTTAATGATGGATATTTCCACACACTCAAAATGGTTTTTGACTGGAACATAATGCATGAAATGTGCATTTTCTTATAGACGAGAAACTCAAAATATCAATGACAGAAAATCCTTTACCAATAGTTCCTACCTCATCACTCATAGCTTAGAAAATTTATTTATGTATTTATTGTTAATATGTTATTTTCACACACAAAACGTTTACAGACTTTTACGTGGACCATGATTTCAGTTACCTTTTTTGTTAAGTCCCGTCACTCACCTGGAATCAACCTTCTTCTCCATTCTCTGCTTAATCACTTTTTCATGGAAATTCAACCAGTGGCTTGATAGGTACTTCTTAGTAACCAGATTCCTCATGAATCAAAAAGTCTTTTATCTTCTCCTTCTAACTACAAGAAAAAGGAGGGAAAAGAGAAATTATATTATCTCTAGCCTCTTAGGAGTCACAATTCTAAACAGCTACATGCCAGCTCCTCCCTCACTTTTAACTCAACACTAGATTAACATGGAAAGTCCCTGACTCAAAATATTATTTTTAGGTTTTCTTAGGTTTTTGTGGGGAGTTGTTTGTTTTTAGAGACAGGGTCACTCTGTCACCCAGGCTGAAGTATAGTGGCATCATTGTGGCTCACTGCAACCTTCAACTCCCAAGCTCAAGCAATCCTCCCTCCACAGCCCCCAGAGTAGCTAGAACCACAGTCATGTACCACACCTGGCTAATTTTAAAATTTTCTGTAGAGATGGGATCTCACCAGGCTGGTCTTAAACTCCCCCCCGACCTTGGCCTCCCAAAGTGCTGGGATTATAGGCTTGAGCCACCATGCCCAGCCTTAAAACATTATTTTTAAATTGCATTGTTAAAAAGTTATTTTCGGCCAGGGGTGGTGGCTCACGCCTATAATCCTAGCAGTCCTAGCAGGACTACTCAAGGTCAGGAGTATTAGCCGGACACGGTGGCATGCGCCTGTAGTCCCAGCTACTTGGGAGGCTGAGGCGGGAGGCTGAGGCAGGTGGCTCGCTTGAGCCCAGGAGTTTGAGGTTGTAGTGAGCTAGGTTGATGCCATGGCACTCTAGCCTCATCAACAGAGCAAGACTCTGTCTTAAAAAAAAAAAAAGTTATTTTCTAAGGAAACTGAGAGGAAAGTGAGTTATATTCAAAAGGTATCCAGATGCTTCAACCCCTTCAACTTCCCTTCACAAAACCAGCATTCATCTGGTTAAATAGATGGTTAAAAAAAAAGAAAGAAAAGAAAAACAAAGAAATTTAAAACAAAAAAGAAATAAAAAGAGAAAACAAACACCAGTAGTACTAGGCCAAGATTTCTTATTTTTTCCCCCAGATTAATTTTTATGGCTGTCAGTGTTACCTATAAGAATCTTCAGGCAGTTTTTGGTCAGCAGTAGATATTACTGTGCACAGTTTTCATTTTCAATTAGTGATCATTTCTACCAAAAAATGTATTATGAACTGAATAAATAACACAGTTTTTATTTATTAGTGCAAAGAATAGTGTCATGAGTTGAACTGTGTTCCCCAAAAAGATATGTTGAAGTCCTAACCCCTTATACTTGTGAATGTGACCTTATTTGGAAACAGGGTCTTTGTAGATGTAACATGTAAGCTAAGGTCACATGGGAATAGGGTGGACCCTTAAGTCAATATGACTGGTGTCCTTAAAAAGAGAAGAGACACGGGCACAGATACACACAAAGAGGAGAATGCCATGTGATGACAGAGGCAGGGATCAGACCAGTATGTCTACAAGCCAAGGAATGCTGGCAACACTGGAAGCTAAGAGAAAGGCATGGAACAGATACTCCCCTGAGCCTTCAGAGGGAGGATGACACCTTGATTTCAGACTTCTGATTTCCAGAACTGTGAAAGAATAAACTTCTATTGCTTTAAGCCACCCAGTTTGTGGTATTTTGTTAAGCAGCCCCAGGACACTAATACAAGTAATAAGAGGAGTAAGGTTTAAGCACATGTGGAAGCAAGCTAATGGGGTAAACATATCCTATGCTCAGAAATTATGATGCATTCTTAATGAGCTATTCATTCTAAAAGAATGATGTCACCTTTATAATCGAGGTCACATGTTTCAATGACAATCAGACAAGGAATTAGCCAGAAAAGAGTTTATCCATACAAAATGAATAGTTCTGTTACAGACACCAAACCTATGTCCTAGACCTACTCTTTCTGATACCACACCTCAAGTAACATAGGTCATCATTAGTTTCTGTAAATAAATCATATCAAGGAGGATTCAAATAGGCATTTTTGGTGAAATACTGCTATAATAAATGGGTCACTGCTTTGGGTTCATGTCTTGTTATAATGATTCTGTGTAATGTCCTATGTGGTTAAGAACTCCCTTTTGTTATACCCTCTGTACCAACATTCTAACTACATGTACATGTCCGCCTTTCCTACTACAATATATTAAGTTCCATGAAAACAGGAGTTGTATCTGATCTCCTCGCCACTATATCTCCAGAATCTAAAACAATGTCTGTAACCTCACAGATAAGATACCTAAATGGTGGAAAGACTAGGATGTAGGTTTGCTCTCAATAAGGATATGCATGAACATGAACTTGGCTTCTAAATTGGAATATAATGATAATCAATGATGATAATCATAATCAAATACAAAGCAGCCCAAGAAAAACAAAGATAATTAGGTGTTGACTCCCAGTTAAACATGTAGACTAACCTGCTAATAGTAAAGGATAAAAAGGGTACAAATTACAAAATCAAATACATGGGAGAGGAGATTATTGGAAATGAGAGATTTCCACAGATTATTTGCAAGAAAGAAGGAAAATGAACTGACCTAAGAGGTTTGAGGAAGTGAAAACTTTCAAAGGAAAGCAGGCTACACAGAATTCCAGAAGAGCTCAGAACTAGAACAAGGAAAAGTTCACATAATTGAAGCCACAGGCCACAAATGAGGGGATTGAATGAAAGACTATACAGGAATCAACTGCAGCCCCAGATCTCCTTCCAACCCTGCTGGCAGGGTCTCTCCCTGCTCTGCCTCCAGAATTCTGGCAGCTAGACTGGTACCTCTCAGGCAGAAGACTGGAAAAATCTTCTTAGAAGATGCTAAAACTAACAGATGTCCAGATTCTGGTATCTGTGCCTCACCCCCATTAATGAAAAAGCATTACCCTAAAGTAAAGCTCATGAACTCACAAGTCTTTTTTTTTTAAGACAGAGTCTTGCTCTGTTGCCCAGGCTAGAGTCCTGTGGCATCAGCCTAGCTCACAGCAACCTCAAACTCCTGGGCTCAAGTGATCTGTCTGCCTCAGCCTCCCAAGTAGCTGGGACTACAGGCTTGCGCTACCATGTCCGGCTAATTTTTCTATATATTTTTAGTTGTCCAGCCAATTTCTTTCTATTTATAGTAGAGACGGGTCTCACTCTTGCTCAGGCTGGTTTCAAACTCCTGACCTCGAGCAATCCGCCTACCTCAGCCTCCCAGATTGCTAGGATTACAGGCGTGAGCCACTGTGCCTGGTCTGAACTCACAAGTCTTGCTCAGACACTAGGAGCTTCCAACTGATTTCTCAGTTGCTGGCACGTAAGTATAGGAAAAGACCTATTTGGAAAAGACATCCAACAAAAAAAGAAAAAAGACCAAAATAAACCCAACAAAGGACTCTGAGGACGTGCCACCACTTGTGATATAATCTTGCCAAAAAAATTGAAGCCGATTATCAGCAAGCCTCATCTAGAACTAAGTACAGTAAGTCCTCACTTAACGTCATGACTAGGTTCTTGGAAACCGTGACTTTAAGCAAAAGACATATAAAAAATCTATTTTACCACAGGCTAATTGATATAAACAAGAGTTAAGTTCCTATGGCATATTTCTTGTCACAAAAACATCAGACTTCTAGATAAAGATCCAAATACTTCCCAAATTAAACATCAAAATAAATGTGAACAATATATACATTCAAGAAAGATTAATAGACTGGGTGCGGTGGCTCACGGCCTATAATCCTAGCACTCTGGGAGGCCGAGGCAGGATCGTTTGAGCTCAGGAGTTCGAGACCATCCTGAGCAAGAGTGAGACCCCGTCTCTACTAAGAAAATAGAAAGAAATTAGCTGGACAACTAAAATAAATAAATAAATAAATTAATTAATTAATTAATTAGCCGGGCATGGTGGCGCATGCCTGTAGTCCCAGCTACTTGGGAGGCTGAGGCAGGAGGATTGCTTGAGCCCAGGAGTTTGAGGTTGCTGTGAGGTAGGCTGACGCCATGGCACTCTAGCTCAGGCAACAGAGTGAGACACTGTCTCAAAAAAAATAAACAAATAAAAGATTACTAAAAACAAGTAAGATTTAATTATTTACCCACTTATTCCAGTTCAGGGTTGAGGGTGGCCAGAGCCTCTCCCAGCAGACAGGATGGCAGTGCATCACAGGGTATACTCACTCACACACACCCACACTCGCTCAGATAGGGACAATTTAGATACGCCAGTGAACCTAACAGGCACATCTTTAGGATGTGGGAGAAAACCAAAGTGCTGCAGAAAACTCACGCAGACATGGAGAGGAAATGGGCAAACTCCACACACATAATGGCTCTGGCAGGAATCGATTTTTTTCTGATCGTTATAACAAAATTATGTTGAACAAAATTATTTTATTTGAGGACCTGCTGTATGAACTTAAAAAAAAATACCAGGGAAAAATAAAAATGCAACCAGCTAAATAGAGATGATGTAGGAAACTTCATAGGACAAATGACTCAATTCCTTCAATAAATAAACTGCAAAGGAAAGTGGAGAAAACCTATACATTAATAGAGACTTCTGAGACATATCAACCAGATGCAACATACAGACCTAGTTTGGATCTTGATTTTAACAAACTAAAAAGCAACTGTTAACAACAACAACAACAACAACAAAAAACCTCACAGAACAATCAGGAAAATTTAAGCTTTAAGTATTTTTTAAACTTAAATTTTTTCTTCCTGGGTGAACAAGGGTAAATAAACCTAAAATTTTTTAGATGAGTTAGGAAATTATTTGTTTCTTGTGATAAAGGAGTTGTGGTTATGTTTTTTCAAAAGAACACTTTAGCTTATATAGATCTATACGGAAAAGCTTAACAGATGCAACCAAGTCCAGCTCGTTAACACTTGCTGCAGGACGGCCAGTAATAAGTCAAGAGACATGGTGTTAGGGCAAGGAAAGCAACTTTCATTCACAAAGCCAGCAAACTGAGAAGATGGTAGACTAATGTCCTAAAGAACCATCCTTTGTAGATTCTCATTCTTTAAGTGAAAAAAAGAAAGAAAAGAAAAATTGTTAAAAATTAAAAAAACAAAACAAAAAAACAAACAACAAAAGAACCATCCTTTGTA